AAATCAGGCCCTGAACCCTAGCAAGGCTCACTATATCGCTGTAAGCGGGTATCTGCTTCATGAACTGAATAGAGCGGCGTATTGGTCGTGTTGTCGCTGCGACTTTCCTGATTGGGCCAGCTCTGTTGTTTCACCTTCGTACCCACCCACCAACAAGATCGCGATGGCCACGAGAAGACGGTTACAAGGCACCAACTCCGCTTGACAGCATCCAATGCGATGCGCGAAAATGACTAAGGCGAGGTGACATGTGGTGCAGCGTGGCTTCGACAGGTTGTTGGGGTTTCGGTTGCCCTGGTCGCGCATGGCAGCGCCGATACTTGCTCCAAGCGTCTGTTCCACGGCACTATCAACGGCAGAGCGCTTGAGATAGTGCGAAACCCTCGCTCAATGTCACGCGCACACACAAGAGAGGAAGCTGGAAAGTCAGAAAGACAAGATCAGTATGGAATGGTGGAGAGCAAGAAGTGGCGATGATCCATAGGTTTGCCACGTGCTAGACAGCCAGGCATTGTTGGTCGCAGACGCGTGTCGGCCAAGTTCTTCATTTATCTCCATAAGCGCACAACGTGACGGACTACCTGTCAACAGTAATCATCCAACCGTCGTTCAGTACACTGCCGTTTGCATCGACTCCACCCCAGACTACGCACGTCGCGCCGTCGACCTCTGTACCCTTGGCGATGCCGAAGTGGCCCCTCGCTCCAAGGCCTCGCTTTGGTTTTCCTGGAATCTCCTTTTCCTCTTCGCCTTTTGTGTCTACGTATCGATATATCGCCTCAGCCCATTGCGATTCATGCGTATCTCTCTTCATACCCGCGCGTATGCTGTCCTTAGTCGCTGCGGCCGTGGAGCGTTCGGGTGCGAGCTGCAGTGCCCATATGTCGTCGAGGTAATCTCCGTTCTCAGTCTCTCCGCCGACAGCTAGCAAGTAGTGTCGCCCTTGACCTGTGGTGACGCCCACGAGTCCTGCGTTTGCGCGCGCCTGCGGTGCTGTAGCGGTGCTACCTTCGGTGTGCTTCACTTCTTCCCAGCCCCACCCACTAGTGACGGGTGTAGTCCCGCGCTCTGCATGTGTCCACACATGTGATGCGTCCACGTACTCGGTCGCACCTGAGGCAAATGTCTCGATGCCCTTTCCACCAAACCGATAGAGGCGACTGCCAACGAGCGCGAGGCTTGCACCGTCCCGCGGCTGACCCGATGGGGAAGGTATGTTGGTCCACGTTCGTGTCTTGACGTCGAACGCAAGTGCATCGTTGGCAAGATTGCTGCTCGAACATTCGCGCCCTCCAACCACGAAGATGGTTCCGTATGAGTTTGCCTCTGGCGGCTCGGGGACGTGTTTCGCAGGATCGGCGGGGGCTTGCGGTGCCTTCTCAACGTACGTCGTCGTCTTGGGGCCTGGGAGGTCTGAGCTCGCCGAAGCGTGGCCAGTTCGCTGGCTGGGAAACAGCGTGCCGTCAGCTGGATCAAGATAGGTCCAGGTGTTTGATATCGTATCATAAACCCAGACCCGCCCTCTCTCATCTGTTACACCATCTCCTTCGCCACCAAACATGTAGATGCTATCCCCAATGACCGCAGCCGTATGTCCCCTTCTCGAGCTCGGTACATCATCCAGGCCATTGGCCGCGCGGGCTGAGTATTTGGTGTAATCGGCGTCGAGAACACCGCTCGACGGCAAGATGACAACGTGCATGTCATTGTCTGCGAGGTTGCCGGCTTCCGTCTCTCCACCAAAGATGTATGCGCGGCCTTTGACTACCGAAACCGTGTGATGCGAGCGAGGGAGCGGGACGGAGGATATGCGCGTGAGGTTTGCCTTGATCGGCAATGTCGGATGAGTTATGCCCTTGACGAGAGCTACACCGGCCTCCAGGAGGTTCTCGGCTGCGTAGAGCACACCGGCTGCTCCGGCTTCCATCGTTGCTCAGGAAAGAGCTATATTCGGGTGAATGGGGGTTGTGGGGTTCGAATGAGCAATTTGAGAAGCGGATATGTCAGAAGTTCAACTAATACGAGTGAAAAGTGTAGTGTGATTGAGAGGAGGGATGTTGTATTGCGTTGTAGCTGTGAAGCTTAACACGAGTGTGACGTCATCATGCGAGACCCTTGTCGCCCTTACGCGTATCCTTCACGGCAAGACAAACAAAAAGGAAAGCTGCCTACAGATTCAGAGCATCCGCCGTGTCTGCACATTATAGATCAATATCTTCAAACGACGATGCACTGTACCGTTACTTCACAGTTCCAAGCACAGCCTGCGTCCTTCATACCAGCCAGTCACAACCGCTAACACACGTGTGGAAGTATTAACAACGAAGGGAATCCCATGTAATAGACAACCGCCCGTCTTCCTATTATACATTGGGTGATAGTTGATCGGATTTGACGTATCGCTCGACCTAAGAGATTGTTAGTGATGCAGCGCAACACATGTGTCATGTTGCATACCGTATCAATGGAGGCCTGCAAGAAGCTGCGCGCCTCAAGACCAACCCAAACCTTGAGCATTGAAAAGTCGCCTCCACGAATCATCGACGAGCCACTTTGTGCACCAAGTTGTCGCAGTATTGGTAGAGCACTGGTTACGTTAGCAGATGGCTATGTGCACGTTGTAATATCACTTACCCGGCGAAGAGATCCAAGTTAGGGTTCAAGCTCCTTCCGATACCTTCCAAGAGGAGGATGCTAAGAACGACATTGACAAAGTCGCCTTCGAGGCGAACATGATGTGTTCGTACCATAGAAAGAACCTCGTTGAGAATGTCTCCAATCTTGATGTTGCCGAGAGCAAAAGTACGGCTCTTGACTCCGAGCACCAGATGTTGCATGCGCAAAGCAAAAACTTCCCCGTCAAGTACTGCGTCTGGTTGTCTGCACCTCTCAACCATGAGATGACCTGCTTTGTAACCATCAAACTCGGCGACAGCCTTGAAGAGGTCAAGGAAGTTGGCGCGGTTCTTCGCATTGAGCTCCGTTACAAGACCTGTGTCGATGAAAATGAGCTGTGGTCGATACCCCTCGTTGTCAATCTCCTGCAACTTCGCTTTCCACTGCTTCGGGTTCTTCTTGTGTGGTCGCAGACGCTCAAGTACCTCTTCGGTAACATCAAGCGACTCTTTGGGGCCGGTCGTCCGGTCCTCCTTCTTGGCGAATATTGAGACGTCCAACTGCTCAGGCTTGTAGAAACGAACCATGATATTTCCCGGGTGTAGGTCGGCATGGATGAAATTGTCGATGAGGAGCATGGTGAGGAACGCATCTAGTCCTTCGTCTGCAATGTCCTTTTGGAACACTCCGCCTCCATTTTGTAGAAAGTCTTCCATGGGGATGCCTTGGGCGAACTCCTCGATAAGGACATTGCGCGTGGTGTAGTCGGTGTAAGGGTACGGGAACCAGGCTGTCGTCCGGTCCTTGAAGTTACGTCGGAAGAGCGTAAGATTCGCGGCTTCGATGCGCAGATCCAGTTGCAGTCTCATCATTTCGCCAAACTGTTCTACTTCGTCGGGAAACGACAGCCACTCCATAGTGGGTATGGCATTGATAACAGCCGCGAAGAAGCCCATGATGCGCAAGTCTCTCCGGACGATCTTCTCAATGTTGGGATGCAGAACCTTGATGGCAACATGGCTAGATGGTACCCTCGAAGGTGAGCTCTTGAGCGTCACGTCGACATTCTTCTTGATCCGCCGCGCCAGATTGAGTTCTTCCCGATCGATGCTGTTGTCTTCCAGAGTTGCAAGATGCGGCTTCAGTTTCGCCTTGTACACCTGTGCTATTGCGCCAACACCCAATGGCTTCTCGTCGAACTCCTCGAAGATGTCATCAAAGCTCTGCCCGTCAAAGGCCGCCTCTATCGTTCGCTTCGTGACTTGTAATGTGTGCGCCGGGGCGTTGGAGTGGAGGGTCGACATGATTGAACACATTTCGGTTGGGAAGACGTCTGTTCGGGAGGCAGCCCATTGTCCGAGCTATCATAGAGTCAGTCTACTTGATATCCTCTGAGTCCAACGTGACGGCACATACCTTGATGAAGGCTGCACCAGCCCTCTCCATAGATCCGACCAAGAAGCCATACCACCACAGTGTCCCACTCCGCTCGTTGTCTCTATCTGGCTGTCGTGAACCAAGCCATATCGCAGGGATTGTCACGATGACCGGCACGAAGATGATGATGAGGTGGAGGAAGCGGAATCCGGTGGCTATGGGCTCGATTATGTAGTCCTCGATGAAGAAATATATGCCTCGCCTGTACTTTGTAGAGTGCCTCAGCGCGTGGGGCACCTGCTCGTCGAGCTCCTTCCGCGACGCCTCGAGCATGGCCTCCTCATGCGTCTTCTCTCCATGGCCGGATTTGTCATTCGCGACGTCGACGAAGGCAAGTGGACTGAGTATCGCGCCGCCCGCAGCTCCCGCGGCTGCACCAGACCACAGTATCGTTCGACCTTTGAAGTTTGGAGTCGCAAATTGACGGCGGAAGCGGGAGGCGGCGGTGGATGGACGCGTGAAGGCGCGGGTTGCGAGTTTGGGCAGGCCTGGGCGACAGCATTGGCGACCAAACAGGAACGCTGTCCTCATGGTACCGGGTGGTGGGCAGATGCGCGTGCGGCTTCCATAAGGCAGGTAGCAATGCGCTGCTTGACCAGGCGCCGGTCGTGACGTCGGTCGGCGTAAATTCCATGTGACGCCGATCAGGCCATCTGCTGCCCGCGGGCTCTTCCGCGGCCACCCACGCTGCTCCTCTCCTCCCACAACGCCCGTCACATCGCATGCCCCCCACGCCCGAGCCATGCGGTTCATTTCCAAGGTTTTGCTCCTTTCCTGCACGTGCCGTTCCGAGCAGTACAAGACATGTCGCATTGGTTGAGGCTACTTCCTGCTTTCACTGCAGTACCTGACGCATAGGACGAGAACGGGACAGTTGTTGAAAGCAGATGATTGATATACAATTAATTACAACAGGCAAAGCAGCCCCTTCCTTCGCCAGTGGATATCTACGCAGTAATGAAGCCCTCGAAGCCCTTGTCCAGTGCACTTCGCGTCATCTCGCTGTACAGTGGGAACCCGCCTGCGAAGTTCAACTGCTCTCGAAGTTTGCCCGGCACGTTGTCACCCATGTACCATGACTTGGTCTGCGGGAACAGTGTCTTGTCCGAGAGCTCGGTGATCTTCTCCCGCCACTCCTTCTCCGCTTCGTGTGTGGCATCACAGTAGTTGATGCCTTGCTCTCGAAGCTTGACCATGGCATCGACGATCCAGTCTCCCTGAACCTCAACGCACGTGGGTCCGTTAGAAAACGCCGTCGGCCCCTGAGCACCGTAGAGGAAGAAGCAGTTGCTGCAGTCCAGTCAGTATCTGCAGTAGTTGGAAGCACTTGAGAACTTACGGGAAACCGCTCAGGCTCATACCCAGGTACGAGTAGGTACCATTCTTCCACTTTTCTGACAGCTCAACACCGTCGACATCCTTCAGTCCCATGTTCTTCATACCACCTGTCACTGAATCGAAGCCGGTTGCAAGGGCGATGACGTCGAACTCGTGTAGAGTACCGTCAGCCAGCACAATACCCTTTTCAGTAACCTCCTTGATCGGGTTCTTGTTCACGTCGATGACCTTGTTCTCGGGCTTGTCGAGCATCTCGTAATAGTTCTGCTCCAGACTCGGTCGCTTGGTACCAAAGGCATGCGGTGGCTCCAGAGGCGCAAGAATTTCACGCTTCTCAGGATCCGTTATCCGGGCTCGCGTCTTCTTCGCCCAGAAGTTGTAGGCTTCGCGGTTGGCTTTGTTGTCGAACAACAGATCCTTGTAGTTTGCCTGCGATCACAGTAAGTGTCTGCTGAGGTAGGGGCTTCACATCTATCGCTTACCAGCCAGAACTCGAAACCACCGTTCTCCCACATCTTCTCGTAGAACGCCTCGCGCTCCTCGGGTGAGTCATCGAAGGTGTTCTTCTCGATGTAGTCGTACTGGAAGCCAGCGAACGTTGTCAATCTTTTCTTGAAGATTTCCTGGTACTCGCCCTGCTTCCGTCTGTCCTGTTCCTCCTTCGTGAGAGCTTTCTGTTGCATTGGGAGGCATAGGTTGGGCGTGCGAACAAATTGGGTTATACTGGCGGCTGTCTTCGATGTCTCCTGGGCAATCTGAACACCTGTCGACCCAGTGCCAATGACGGCAACACGTTTTCCCTTGACGTCTACTCCAGATGCTGGCCAGAATGAGCTGTGATGGATCTCGCCCTCGAACTTGTCCATTCCCGGCCAGTCGGGGAAATGACGCTTCGCCGCGAAGCCCAGAGCCAAAAGGAAATATTTGCAGCGCGCTGTCCGGCCATCTTCGGTCTTCACGACCCATTTCGAGGAGGGTTTGTCGAACTGAGCCTCGACAACTCTGGTGTTGAATGCGCAATCTTTCTTGATATCCAGCTTTCGCTCGACGTGGTCGAAATACTGTTGGAGCTCTTCCGTACCGGGGTATCTGCAAGACCAATTCCAGTCCTATCCGCCAATGTCAGTCTTCGAATAGCGATCCACCAAGATTGTCACATACCTTCCAGATCTCGGGCATACTGTATTCGTAGATGGGGACCTGGGAATCGACCCGAGCACCGGGATAGCAGTTCCAGTGCCAGATACCACCAATGTTGGAACCAGCCTCCATAATCTTGCACTTGAAGCCCTGCTGGCGGAGTTTGTGCATCAAATAGACGCCGCCGAAACCGGCGCCTACAATCACAACATCGGTCTCGAGCTCTTTTGCATAGTTCTCGTTATTCGGATCCGCCGCTTCGTTCGTCGCACCGATGTCTGTCCGGAAGTGGACCATTGTGGGAGGGGTGGTTCTTGAATAAAGAGGAGGTTGTGAGATTGGAAAGCTACTGTCGATCCTTTGGATAGACATATCGTGGGCGATACACTCTCTATATATACGTCAACGCACGACATACCCCTCCTGCGCGGATCCTGCATGACCGCCACGCTATTCGCGATCCTGCCACCGTCTCGCGCCCGATAACCAGGGCGAATTGCGTTTCGCCTGTGGATGCTGCCACACTCCAGTAACGTTTCGAGACCATGTCGATCTCCTCTAGTATCCCATCCGACCGGACGCCCTAAGGGAATCAACGGAGATGTCGCGTGTGAAGGCCTGGTACTGGATGTGTCTGAATGCGGAAACACTCCGCGGCAGCGCCACGCACAGGCGATCGATACGGTTGCTCTCCGAATGTCTAGTTTGCGGGGTAGATACAGCTACCCCGGTACCCCGCATAACACCGTTCTGTCAAGGCGAACATGATGCCGACGGAAACGCCGGCTTGCCGATTCTGGTAATTCGAACAGAACAAATGTCAGTGTTGTCGGGACTCTACTCTAAGAGTGACCGTATCACCGTTCTGTCATCCATGGAGCTGCATTTGGAAATGCTTTCGACTTCAAGTCGCATTCAAGTGCTAGTATTCACCATGCGAACACATACAGAGTCAATGACTCGTGTTCGGGGTCGCAAGCTTCAAGCGCGATTAGTATGCACTAATCTGCATCACATGGGACCAAATAAGCCCGACGATCGTATTGTCGCCTAGCCATTTCAGTGGTGTATGGGAATCTGGATGTCTCAACATGCGCAAATGCAGGGCATTCAGATGTTACCGCCCGGTCCGAAGGAAATCTGCGGAACCGCATCTCACAACGATCGAATTTGGACACATGCACGGACTCCTAAAGCCGCGCAGGCTGCTTATAGGACTGGGTGAAAGGGACTCATCTTCCATTCTTCTGGACAAATGTCATCTTCCCGTACATGCGATGCTAGTGGAGCTGGTCGCCATCATGAAGCACGAACGTGGCTTGACAGTACATCTGTTGATCATCAAAGAAGGGGAGACTCTTGACATCACGAGAATTGCCAGACTCATCGTGGCACTCTGAACGAACTGCGAGAATATGATGCCGATGGAGTTGGCCCAGAGATGAAGTGGAGCAGGAGCTCCACTTTGTCAGAAAGCTTGAGTTACTATCCTGGTCGTGATTCGGACAACCTATTCACTATTATGCCCGCCCAATGGTTTCTATCCATGATTGACTGAACCTCGCTGCTATGCTGCAGTGACCGAGCGGCAAGTTGACGTTAGAGCTAGAGCCTCTTGATTCTTGAAAAACCTCGCCAAGATACTACACACCTGCTGCGCTGACGCTCATCATAGGAAAATGTTCAAGCGATTGTACTCCAGACGATGCTGACTTTCCTAGCCTGAACCCCAAAGAGCTCCAGCAACCGAAACCGCTTTTCGTCAAACCTTACCTCCGCTGTCGGCGTCCAACTCGTGAGGATCCGAGCTTGCCAATTCCGCGGGAATCTGCTTTTCCTCACTAACCTCATGGCATGTGCCTCCCCTTGTTGCATCCAAAGAAGAACCGTCCGCTTCGTAATAGACGGGTTTACTATGCTTCTTGTCCTTGTAGCGACGGAATAGGAAGAAGGCCGCGAAGGCTGAGGCCAGAACGACTACCGGAACAGTAACACCTATGACTATCGCAGTTCTTCGAGAGGTGTTTTTGGGAGCGGGTGCCGACTCAGGTGATGTAGTTGGTTCAGGTGAGGAGATCGGTGTTGTTGAGGTAGGTGTTGAAAATGCTGATTGCAGCGTCGATGCCGGAGAAGCAGAGGAAGATGACAGCGATGACGTTATTGATGGCATCGACGTCGTAGCGGCTGTCTTCATGTCAGCTTGTCACTTTCTGGGCCAACGATAACGAGCTATTCACCTGCGATCTCAGCCAGCTTCGATCCGCCGATATCACAATAACTGCTAAACACCTCCAGCGCCGTCGTATTCTGCGAAGGGTCGTCTGGACACTGGGTCATGACATGAGCCCCAATCATGCTGGAGAATTTGGCAGAGCTCTCATAGCAGACTATGGGAAGGCAGAGCCAACGTCAGCGCATGTTTTGGACGTTGGCGACGTTCCACGACGGAAACTTACAGCAAGTGAACGACTGGTAGCTGCCACCATCTCCGCATCCCCACTTCATGTTACGCACGATAGTCGACAATTCGAGCTCGGCGCATGTTGCAAGAAGTGCGTATTCTTCAATCTGGTCAATGAAGATACTCGTCGGACCACTAGCGCCTACTATGCTGGTCAAGGCTAGGAGAAGAGCAAAAGCGGGAAAGACACGGATTCCAAACATATTGGTGTATGCTAGTGTATCTCACTGGGGGTGTATCGACACGAGCTATCTTTCTCACACCAAGGAGGCTAAGGAAAGAGTTGTGGAGAAAGCTGGGTTGGCAGCGGACCGGCGTATTTTGTACGCAGGGCGTTTTCGCACATGTCGCAAATTAGCCCAGCCTTCCTTCGCTGGGAATGCCTGTCTTGATGTGATAGCAAGGGCATGTGTATGCACGTACTTGAACCCGAGACGGCTGAACTCTGATTGGACGCCCACGTACGCATAAATAGACTTTCACCTCAACACACCGGCAAGGCTGAAGAATTGTGCAGCAGCAACGCTGAACGAGAAATGATCGGGGTCAGATAGCGGCAGGTGAGAACATGGCGTTCTCTTCTGTGTCTGCCATTGACTAAATCCGGCGGGTGCGTCGCCATTTATCTCTAGAGTTTCTATCGGGCCAATAGGGGCGGCCTTTGGGGCGGCCCAGCTGCATGCACAGCGTCCGTGGAGGTACTCCCGCAGCTGTCACGGACAGCCATCACAATCAAGGTTAGCTCATCCGTAAAGTTTCGATGAGATAAAATTAGCTGGTAATTTGAGGTGATGTCACGGCAAATGTGGCTGGCAAGGCTGGCCCCATATGTCTCCAAACCATCAACACAGGCGCATTCGAATGTATCCGGCCCCTCGCAAGGTTGACCTGGATGGCCACCATGGCATATATAGTCTTCGGGATGCAAAGACTAAATTATTCACCAATTACTACCCCCATCTGTTTATAACTCGTATACATCTACGCACCGCCAACTTTCACGATGCGCAGCCTTGTGGCTATCACTTCCTTGCTGGGGCTATCGACAACGGTAGTCAACGGTTTGGTACCAACTCGCAGGCAAACTTCAACTTCATTCGCAGGAAGTAATGAGTACTTTCTCCATGCGCTTTCCGCATCCGAGCAGAAGGAGTATGTCGAAACTCTTGCTGGATGGGGCGCCAAGGTCCTGAGGCTGTGGGGTGAGTAGCATTTGAACAATTATGAACACCTTGAAATAATTCTGCATCCTCTTAGCAGTGGACTTGAGGGAAGAACTGCAGTACTGACAAGCATTGTGCAGCGACGAACGTTGCCACAGGGTGCTTGAAGGGCAGCACCATCGAGAATTCCGTGCCAGCTTTCGAATCGACGGTCGGTGTGTACGATGCTACCGTTCTAGCTAAGCTCGACGACACTCTCAAGCTCCTGCACGACAACGGAATGAAGGCAATCATATCTCCCCATAACGCTAATACACTAGGCGGTAGCGCAGGGTGCGATGCATACTGCCAAAAGTATGGCGACGCACCTACCTTCTACTCTTCATCCGACGCCAAAGCAGACTACGATAACAGACTCAACGAGATGCTAAACTACCAGTCACCGAACTTCGGCAAAGCCTGGAAAGATATGGAAGAGGTCATCATGGCTTTCGACCTCCAGAACGAGCCGCTGATCGGGCAGATCGACCTGTTGAACGCCAATGACCCGGATGACTGGCTGTGTGGCCGTGCTGGAGCATTGCGCAGTGCTCTTGGATCCTCCAACATCAAGGTCGCCACAGGCGGTGTCGGCGGCTCTCACTATTGCTGTGATCACGAGTTCAATACGCTGGAGAAAGCTATGCAGTGCGATGCCATTGACATCATCAGCATGCACGGATATATGAGCAAGGCGTCCGACTGGGCCTACTACATCACCGGCGACAGGGAGGTCTTGAGCGGAGCCAGAGTTGCAGGCAAGAACATTATGATGGAAGAATGGGGCGTCTCGGTCGACTACCAGGACTCTTTCGATACGCAGGTCCAGGTGTTCAATGATGCTGGAGTTCCTTGGGTAAGCATGAAGGTTGTGAATCTTGAACGAAACGCATGCTGACATACGTTGAAGTTGTATTGGCAGATCGTCCCTGGCTTAGATGGCTCTGAAGCTGGTGCACCAACTAGTTGTGGCTATGATAGCTTTGAGATTGGCTTAGGTAGCTCAAAGGGCGATGTCGCCGGAGGGATTGCTGCAGCGAACGCGGCTTCGGCAGCGCAATCTTGGGCGGGTTATCTGTGATGGAGCCAGTTTGGCTCGCGAGTGTTTTCGCAGTTGCGCTTCCTTTCGTTGATGTATTTCTCCAATTTTGAAAGTGTAGGGTTTGGCAAGCGCGTGCCATTCCCTCGTGCCACTCTTTAGATAGACTATGCCGTTATGAAGTAAGCAACTCATTCCACTGGCATAGGTCATGTGTCCAGAGACAATTTGATCAAACCAAATGCGTTTCTCTCGGGATTGTTGCTGTCATATCGCTGGGTGGTGGAAATCTGTTTCAGCTCAGGTAGCCTGTAGCGAATTCCAGCAGCTGCGACCGCCTGCGGTCAAGATATGGAGATTGGGGCATGCATGTAGGAAGTGACGCGATTGAGATCTGTAAGGCCTAAAAGCGATGATCAGAAGGACCTCGGGATGCGCGTTGCATTTGCCAAAACCCCACGCACCGTCGACGCGTCGACATGACGTCACAAGACCCACTTTGCTATTGGCGCGTCTCCCACGCGTGCGCGCACCCGAAGGTTGCGAAACCTCAGAGCGCGAAACGCATCCTCTAGGCGCTATAGTGTTCTGTCGGTCTCGTGTACTCATGACACAACAGATTAATCCAAACATAACGACTTTGCTCAACGGTCTTTGACCTCTGCTTCTCAACAGACTAGAAAGCGGGACGGATGAGGCTCGGTATAAGTAGTATACAAAGGTCTTCTCATATCTATTGCTGTCATGTGGCTTACCCTTGCATCATGCAACGCACGGGACGTTCGCCGTCTAGACGCCTTTGTGTAACGATCAGCGAGCGAAGGCAAACACAAATTGGCATCGAGTAATGCCAAACTGATCACTCACCTTCCACCTGTCTCACGAATATCCACCACACCAAGGAAGCGCGAAGTCAGATCGAACTTGAAGAAAGCATGGGCTGGCGCGACGAATGGCCCGTTGGATCGAATGGAGAAGAGTACGATGGCAAACAGATTCTGACACTGGTGCGGGACAATGCTAGTCCCTTCAGAGACGTGTGGAACGTCCAGTTGCTCATCGATGAGATTGAAGAGAAGCTCCAAGTTGAAGTAACAGATATCCCGACTATCGATAAAGGCTCCAACAATTATGTACGTGTATATCCATGGCTATCCTCGAGTCGGCTGATCTAGCCCTCCGGCCCAACGCGATAGGCTCAGCGGAGATAATGTCGACACTTAATGCCATTCCAAATCAGCTCGCTTGCCAACTATAGTTTACTGATTTGTGCTTAGGGATTTCACCTCCAGGTTCGTGATGGGCCGGACTTGGTAGTTCGTCTAGCTCGCGGCGACGTCAACATGCCGGATTTCGATGGCTTTGTCGTCGAGCGGCAGATCGCTGAAGTTGAATTCGAAGCGGCCACATATGATCTGTTGCGGAACGAAGCAGGAGTCCGCGCATCTCGTCTGATCTATCACCGCGCACCGGTCCTCAAACCGGGTCCTAACGTCCAGATACCAGCAGATCTCTCGGGTCGACGCATCTTTGTGTTCGAACGATCAGACGGCACAAACAATGTGTGGAAAGGGCTCGATGCTGAGGCAAAGGTATGAGTCATTATTCGAAGCGTTGAGATATACTGAAAGCTCTCAGACTGTTCTTCTTGATCAGCTCGCACGCATGCGTGCCGCTCTCTTCAACTATTGCCCACCCTCTGGCTTTGCAGTCAAGTACCTGCATAGCCGTATCTTTGACTCCAAACCGGATGCTTTCAGACTACCCGTAGCGCCTACTCGCGAATTCTGGATACACTTAATACAGTCAAAGATTGAAGCAACAATCAAGAACGAAGGTGACATGATTGGATGGGAAGATGATGAAGAAACCGTGGGACCTGTCGCACTGGCAGCGAAGCAGTCTCTCCTCAAAGCGATACCACATCTACTACCGCAAGAGAGTTCCGACATCTTGTACAGGCTAGTGCTTGAGCACGGTGACTTTGGGATACACAACACTTCGGTCATCACAGACAATAATCGTAAGCCCCAGGTTACGTCGCTATATGATTGGGAGACAGCATGCATTGTTCCAGCTCTACTAGCTGACCCACTTGTCGCGGCTGGTCCTGTGGATCTAATTACAAACGAGCGTGCTGAGCCGGCTGTCACTAGGATACCTGGATCACCGACGGCTGCAGAACTAGAAGCATATGCCACCTGGTCGCGACATTACATCAAGGTTTGCCTGTACCGAACCCTACTTACCATAGTGGTGCGCTAACACCTGGTACAATGAACAGGAGTTGTACACGCATGCGCCAGATTTCGAATTCGCGATCAAAGCGGGAAAAGATGTGCGCTATCTGTGGTTTGCGTTGCGCGACTGGCATGGTGGTGAATCTGAACAGTTCTTCGGCGACCTTGGAGCTTGGGCGGAGGCACGGCTGAGAGAGAGGGGACTTTCGTGAGTTATTAATGTCGTCTTGAGCATCAGTTAGCCAACTTTGTTATGATCTTGAGAGGTTGTAGTAGTGGGTCGTAGTATAATGGATGTAATCTGAGCGCAAAAGATGTGTTAAGTTTCGGCGCATAAACGAAGTCAGAAGCTTATAACAGCAAAAATCGCCAGTAGTCATCTATTAGCTACTAGCACACCAGTATCTTGCTTGTACAAGGTTGAGTGGACGCGAATCATCGCGGCCGATTCCCAGTTAGAGCTCCCGAAGGCCTTTGGGGAACGTGTTCGGCCAAGATTGGGCACCGCGCAAAAGGGATTTGCCGGATAAGCTCCAGCTCCGAGCCACGGAGGAGACTGTCGCACGATTACCTCAAGATGCCCGAAAACAATTACCCGTTCAACGTTGTCTAAATTCCTTGGTTTGCGCGTACTATCTGCGCATGCAGTCTGCGCGTGAAGTCGGTTCAGCTCAGCAACAGTGGGGGCAACTCGCCAATGGCCAGCTGCAAGTGCCCAGGTGAATGTTCGTTAGCGTGGTTGCCCCTAGTCAATGCGGCATTACCTCGGGACAATCGCGCGCAGCAAACAACCGTGGAATCGCGCAAGTACATATACCTAATCTCCCAGCCGCATCACCCCGCATAGGGTGACACTCATCGGTCAGCTCCTGTCCATCTAGCCTCGATCGCCAGAAGTACCCGTGCGGACCTACAGCAAGCAGTCTCACAACGAGATGAATCCGGATACCAATTCACGCCTCTGTCCCGATTGGGTCTTTCTAAACAATGCCAACGTACAGTAGGTGAGCTACGACTCATTCAGAAGTATCCACCGTTAACATATGGCTATCAGCGTCGCAAAGGACAGAGGCTGGTTTAAAACGTACACGCCCTTCAAATCAACAGTAAATTCCTCGCCCTTCTTCGGCCCGCACACGCAAACTCCCGTGCTGGGAATCGGTACCGTCGAAATCCCAACAAAGCGCTCGCCGAATGCTTCAGGTGTATCTTCGCATGGATCTCTTCTTCTCCACGAGGTCTTGCACGTGCCTGACTTTATTTGCAACACCATTGGGCAACCACTCATGTACAATGATGGATATAACGTGATGATGTTGGGCGGCAAAGATAGAAAATCCAACGGCATCATCAAAGACAGCCAGGGCAGGAATGCTGCCTATTTCGACCCCAAAAGCCCGTTGTTTGGAATCAAAGTGCGCCGGTCTCCGAACGGGCCAAGGCTCGGCCCGTACGCGCTCAAGAAGGACGTGATGTACGTGCTAGGCTGTCGATGGGACGATGCCGAGAAGCGTAAGTGGCAAGAGTTCAAAGCTGGGAATGGACTCAACACGCCAGGACAAAATGCTGCGCCCTACACGGCCGAAGAAACTACGTTCCTCAAGAAGAACTATGGCTCCGAATACCACTTCCTAATACAACACGGGCTGAAGATCCACAATGAGGAAGACCGCGAAGAGGGACGCGCCATCTTACGCGCCATCATGCGTGAGGATGAGATGTCCGAGCTGGAAGAGTCCGGGGATGAGGAGGATGATGGTGATTTGTCACGTTTCGAAGGCCATCAGGCAGACTACAACTTCACTGAACGCCAGCTTGATTGGATCGAACAGTACTATGGCAATTCGGAGCAGTTCATGATTTCCTATGGACTCAAGTTCTACCGTGAAGAGGATCTCGAGGAGGCGAAGGCCATTGTGGATGTCATGATGGATGGAGACGATTAGGGGTGCCTAGGTACCTTGAAGCGTTGCTCAAATCTCACATGAGATGGATACGGAAGCTTCATCATATATCAAATCATCTCTAGCTGCTCATCCGGTACGCGTAGATCACGTACACATGCTTAACAAGGGGAATGCAGAGCTTATGATGGTTGAAGAAACCACGATTCCTAAGAAAACCTATGGTTTCGAGTTCCTTGCTCTAAATATTGGTATCTCGGTAGCTTGAGAGCTTGTCCTGATGGGCCTTAGGCTGGTGGGGCGAACGCGGGCAAAAAGATATAACCACCACCATGGCGCAAAAAAGAGCAAAACATACAACAGCCTACTAATCCGCCAGTACACCGTGACCAAAACCTCATGTAACCGAAGCAGAATCAATGCGGCGATGACAGGGGTAGATGGCTCTAATCCGACAAGAACAACAGAAGATAGAAACAAACATATTAAACGACAGTGCAGGAATCGAAGTCCACATTAATACACCCCAAGCGATCCTCTCCCAACAATGGCCTTCTGACAACCTCCTACCAAAATGTCAGTTTATCCGCCACCCAATCCGTTACCGCAAAGAAAACATTGTGGCGGTGGAAGAAACTCCGGTTCTTCTTGCCGAGGATATCTATCAAAGCACGGATTAGCCACTGCCCTCATCTCACCTTCTCTCTGAGACTTACACATCGGAATCGTCAACGCACAAACAGCGACCTGCGCACTCCCGACGGCGATAAACAGGGTCTTGATTCCCCCACCACCACCTACCCCACTCCGCCGTCCAGCCTCAACGACCCAGTCGAAGCCTTTAAACGTCAGGGCGAAGGAGAACACGTTCTTGAAAACGAGGAGACATGTGAAAGCTTCGATGGATATGCCGCCTATATACGTCAGTATCTCAAAGCATGGAATGGTCTCGGAGACTTACGATGCGCATCGACAATGTATAGCGCACTGGCGACAGCACCACACACCATACCCATTACTACGAGCGCGAAGAAAAAATCAGGCCAAAACCAGCCGTACGTTGCCGTATCTGCGCTGGTCCAGCCGAAGCCGTAGATACCAGCACAACCTAATATGAGTTGTGGGACCACGAGCACCATGCGGAACTCGGGTTCGTAGACGCCGTTATTGAGGCGCGTGAGCAGGTTGGCGGACCAGTCGCTAATCAGACCGGTGAGGGCGAAGCCGAGGAGTGCACCGATGAAGGCGCCTGTGTACCTTGATGGGATTAGGACATGTGGGTGCAAGTCATGAACAGAATGTCTCAACTTACATGTATCCTGTCTCCTTCTCTCCAAACCAAAGCGGTGGGCCGAGCATAATTGCTGCAAGCACAACACCGATAAGGACCGTGAAACCGATTAGACTGCCTTGGATGAGACAGGCCCACAGTATACCCGGATGCAAGAACAGCGAAAACGGCCGCAGAAGGAGGTGCAGATACCGGTCATCTGTTTTCCGCCCATTGAACGGCTTCATACTTTCGAGAAAAGTAGCCTTGCGTGGCGAATCGCCCACCGAATGCTGGTCTGCAGAGTTTCCTGCTCTCTTTTCATCCGTGTGTCCAGCTGCTTCGTGTTCAGTAGATGTACTACTCGACCCCCGATTACCCAGGATTTTCATCTCTTCTCCATCCTTAACCAGCAAGTTCCCCATAGTGTCGGTGTCAAATTTCTCTTCCCTCCTGAACGCCGTTTCCGGGCAGAAGAGTATGATCAGCGGTAGCATGATCCCCGAGAATATGGCGACAAAATAGAATGTCCACTGATATCCGATTGAATCTGCAATCACTCCTACCAAAACTGGGGTAAGGAACGCGCCTCCGAAGACGGCGAAGTTTGACAGCGCCATACGGACTCCGCGTTCGTGGACGTGATACATATCGCCAACACTAGCTGTAAATCGAGAGAAAGTTAGCGTATGCTTCAAGTAGGATTCAAAGATATCCACGCTTGAACTCACCATTGACGAGCGCTTCGAATGGCGCTAGGCCCACGCCTTGAAACACTCTCGCCCATAGAAATCCAGCATAATTGTTTCCTATCGCGCCACCCCACGCACAACTCACCACGACTATCACAGTTCCTAGAATGTACACATGTCGTTTTCCCCAGATACGCGCTGACGGCACGAAAAGAAAACCTGCGACTCCGACGCCCAAGAGGTGGTAGCCGGTCAACAGAGCCATGTCGGTTAGGTTGTGACCAAAGTAAATGGCGAGGGAGACAGTATTGGCGGCAAGAATGGGAGAGAGGGTGCTTGCGATGACTGATATGGAGGATAGAAGAAGGAGAATGGTGTCGCGACGACGAAGCGACCAATTCTGGAGTATCAGTCAACTATGTGCACTTGCCCAGATTTTGTGCCAGAATGGGACGTTTGAAAGACGTACAAGCGGATCATTCGGATCATCACTCGGCTGCGGAACAAGCAGTATTGTCCCAGTTTTGTCGTACTTCAAGCCTGACCTCCCTATGATATTTTCTGCATTTCTTTCTATTTCCCTCCGCTGCTCGCCTTCCAATACCTGCGCGGTCCCAGGGACCTGTTCGAGCGCATGGTCAGAGAGGATGCCGAGACCCATTGTCGCACGACCTTATGAATGCTTATCGCGGTAGAGCGTCGCAACAGCTACGTGGAATGCATGCGCAAAAAAAGTGAGGAAAAAAGGGATTAGGCTGGAAGTGAGGACTGATGATGAAGGCTGACAGTGATGGACGCCGGGGATGTTGAAGGGTCGAAGATCTGGGGTGTGGAGATCGTCCAATGGGCCGCGGGAGCTGAACATGCTTCGGTGGAAGCAGCTAATGGCAAATAGTAGCGGCCGAGCGCGTCCCGACTAGGGGCCGACGAGGCTTCAACTTCGAACGTTCAAGAATAAGCCGCACGGGCACGGGATTGGGCGGATCAGCTGGATTATCCCGCAGCACGTCGTGCAGTCGCGAACAAAAGATGGAGTCAGTCATTGTGTGCGTCTGGAAGACTATAATCATTACCAGCGCGTTCTAAAGTAAGAGAGTTGCAGTGGTTTCACGCCAAATAAGCCGGGCAGGCTTCCCAGCATGGGGTCATCGATGTATGTAATTTCATAGCACCTCCCCTTAAGGAGATACATCACTTGAATGTCTCCAAAGAGGATGCATCCACAGTTACTTGTTATTACAGTTTAGCACTACTGACACAGATATACTAACAGTTGTAAATGCCGAAATAGATTATGTTATTAAACAAAGAAGTTTCCAAGCTGTGGGAATACACTACAAATAAACCAGGCCATGTCTTCGGTGTGAACAATCGATGTTTGCAGGAAGGTTTTCTTGAGACGCGAGTCGGGAAGTTGTCTAGTACACGACGCGTCATGTGCATGGCTGGGGCTACCGTTCGAACAACGGGCGCTGGACAAGTGTCCAACAGCGTACAGTGATAACAGTGTTCTCCTACAAAGCAGCGAGCAGTCCGACCATGGCAAGTCCAAGACCGACTCCCGCGCCTGCGGTCTGGATGGGCGCTGCTCCAGTGTTGCCAGCCGCTGATGCTGAAGTGGCGGAGGCGCTTCCTGAAGGGGTCATGGAGGCGGTGCCAGACACTTGTGTGACAGAGGAGTTGCCGGCAGAAGGGGTCGCGCTGCCAGACGGTGTCGCGCTGCCGGATGCTGTCGCGCTGCCAGACGGGCATGAGGGTTGGGTGTTGACGTCGATGTTCTGAAGTTTGCAAATCTCGACACCGAACTGAGTGGTCGCTGTGATACTTGTTAGCTGGGACGGGACGCGAAATGGCAAGCGACATACCAGCGATATCCGACTGTGAGCAAGTAGCGAACACACAGCAAGACACAGCGTCGATAATCTTGCTCTCGCAAATGCATGCAATGTCAGTAGCACCGCAGCTGCCTAAGTTGCCACCGAAGCAGGCTTGCTGCGTTTTCATTAGCTTTCGTTCGCCGGTAGTTATAATCAACAACTCACAGCACATTGCGGGATCTGGTCAAGAAGACCTTGGGCCAGAGCTGTAGAGCTCAATGCAGCGGCAGCGGCGATAATAGAGAAGCGCATGTTGGCAAAGTTTGGTTACTTGAAAGCGACTGTGAAGTGTGATCAACGATGAGGTTTGCTTTAGACTGACACGAGATGGAATCCACGAGGGGAAGCATGGTTTTGAAGGTATCCGCCGGCCTGTGGCAGCGCCCTGCGAGAGACCTAGACCTACGATGGCTGCCAATTTACAGCTGAAGCATGCTTGGTCCCTACCTGATTGGCGGTTCGTTCCACAATTTGACTTCCCGATTGGCAGACTTCTCCACAGACAAGCCGATCCACATGCTTGATCCCAAATCCGGCGCGCACGTCCCTGTTTTAGATCCGTGTTGGGCTAAGATCGGAAGTAAGCCGGGGATCGGCTCAATTGCTGGAGAGACTGCTGATTGGTACTGGCGTACCAGCCCGACTCAAGACCACCTGGGCAGGCACTAATCTGAACCAAAGGCGCACTCCATTGTCGCGAAAGCGACCGCCGTGTTCTGTTCATACCCGAGCACGGCCCGAATAAACCCAAGTCGATATCAGCACGCCGTCAGGTGTGAGATGGTGCAGGAACGTGACGTTGGGGACGTTGATAATTTTTAGGACAGCAAACTCAATCACCCTCGTCAAACAATATGAATGCCGAGCACTGTATGACTTTGGGCGAGCATTGTACCACGTAGGTTGCCGCACGCCACCTAATGCGGACTGCAAACGCAAAAACTTAAACACGGTAAGGGCATCACCGGAAGCCCACAAGTTAACACTTCGTGAGTAAACTTTGGAAGTGAGAGGACAGAGCGTTCGCCGTAGGAGCTTTGATCACCGACAGCCTCCCCTACAATAATTGCCTCCAATACTTCGACCCCCGGCGCCTTAGCAGATAGATAATGGCAAGTGCAATGCAGCTCATTCTAAATGTCGCCAAAAACCTCAACAGTAAGATTATAGACTCTTGATGCTATCAAAACCGGCCTCGGCGAGGCTTAGGGGCCGGAGTTTTCGGAGAAAAACATAGAAGACGGTCGTGATTAAGATTGCGATTAGCGCAAATGGCTTAGGGCGAGCGATTGTTGTTAGGAGACCTCACAGGATGACGTCCGTTATGCCGAAGCTGACGATTTCTGGCATTCTGGAGTGGTTTATGTTGGTAAGCCGTGCGGATCTTGATCGCGCGCTTCAGAGTGTTCCAGCGGTAAGGAGTAAGCGACGGTGGGCGAGAGGGTGGGCGCCAGCAGGTGACGGTACCAAGGTAGCCAACAACATATCGGAGGTCGACATCTTGTAAAGTTCGCAGACCATACTGTTTCTTCAGCTTGGTGTTGGTGCCACGAGGAGAGAGCAAATCGGTCTAGTTCGAGTTTAGCTGGTTGGGAGGGGTGGTTCCCGAAGGCAGGAAGGCGCACGGTCGTGTTCTCGAAAATGTGAATTTGAATCGAAATCATGCTATCTGAACACGAAGCTGTCAATCAGTAATGCTATGAGCCTTCAGCGCGTAGATGTAGAGTAGTTTACACATTCTCAAATGGAACAAGTGGACTCCACTACAGCTTCGAGCTTGTATTGGAGATCCGGGGTTGCTAGTTCAGGATGGGCCAAAAACCGGAGCTACTCTCGGACCATCTTATCCACGAACGTCATTTTGTTATCGCTTGCTGAGACCCTTCTAAACTCCCCCTTCATCCAAAGCGCGCAGAATCATGACGCCTTGTTCTTCGCGAGATCTTTGTCGTGCATGCGAAACGTCTTCTCGAGTATGGGTCTGTCGCTTGTTCAGTCGGGTCTACGCGCGTAGACATCGCGCCTGGACATATGGCCAGAGAAGAGAAGTTGATCGCAACAAGTCGCGTTGTTATGCGATTGAAGAGTAGGAAGGAATGAGGGTACCACATGCGATCATCCCGAGACCTGATTTCGATCCATCTGACTCACCTCGCCCAACAAACGCTCGACCAACATCTATGACGAAATGTACACGTACACGACTTGTCAACTGGGAAAGGACTCTCCAGCAGATCTGATGAATTGGTGAATGAGTGGTTAGGCTGGTAAACTTCACTAACTGACTAAGCCGTCGTAAAACAACTACGTAGATGGCTGCGTCTCCTGCAGGGCAGCGAAATGAGTGTCTGAAGGAACAATAAAGGCCTCACGAATACCCTGGCGCAAGCGAGACGCCATGGCCAGTATTTCACTTCCCAAGCAACGGGCCACTCACGACTCCCACATTTCGAGCAACGATGCTCTCACAAGAGGTACTACTGTCTCCACACATGATGCATCTCAGCCCGACATAGAGCTATGATTAAGATCTGAGTCACTGGTTAGCTTCAAATCATATCCGCGGTCGATAGAAGCCTTACCACTGCTGGATCGAGACCACCAGCAATCCGAACCTTCCAAGAGCTTCTGTCAACTTGACTGAGGTTGGAGATATCGTTTGACTCCTGCAACAGCAGTTCGGCGATACAGACGTCTTTGGAGAATACCCTAGTCGTAATTGCGCTCTGGTCCTTCTGCCGAACCTGCAGCACCACGTCGTCTTCCTTGTCTTTTCCGGTGGGAACGACCATATCAAGATCCGATCGGCGCCCAGAAGAGACATGTTTCAGCTCCGCTATACGCTGACCATCTGGACTTTCCACTGTCCAGAGGTTCTTCATTGCCGACCCGTGATGTCGTAGGTCGAAGATTGGCACACCTGAAGTGTCTTTCACCTGTCGACGCCATGACCAAGACTTCATCGGCCCAGGTCCTCCTCCAACGAAGAGCTCTTGGCCTTTCTCGTCCATAACGGTGACGTTTGAGAACAAACGATCGTGGCATCTGACATAGATGTTGGTCTCTTCATTCGCGATGGGGGCATCGGAGATCTTGAAAGGAAGTGAGCAGAACTCGAGAGATGCCGCCATGTCGACTGCTAACTGAACAATAGATCTCGAAAGGTTTCAGGGGTAAGCTGGGTGCGAATATTCGCAGTCGCAAAAGCTGAACAATGCGACAAGACACATGGGCAGGCCTCATCAACCCCTCGGTGAAGAATGAGAAGAATGCAGGTCGGAACTCGTATGCGCCATAAGAACTAACTGCGCAACTCAGCAACTCTTGGCTAAGACAATGTGACTCGCTATACGCGATCTGCAATGTCATCCCTTACACAAGAAACCCCTCGAAGCATCGTGATCGGGTTTAACCGCTGCCTGGACCGCTTGTCCATCAGCACGTGGTCTCGGCATCAGCCGCCAGGGCAGAATCATCCACATACACCTCTTGTAGCCTTCTCCGCAGACAACTTGAGCTCGCGGCATGCGTCTGGTATCAAGGATAGCGCAAGGGTAATGTCTCGGTGATTATAATTTTCATGTTGCTGCAAGCCATGTCACGCTGACCGGCTGCCAGCTGCATTTACCCAGACGATTTCCTATTTGTGCTTCAGCGCAGATCTTTTCTGAAGACGGAGAATACCAGTGCACCGGTGTCTCGCCCAAATCGGGATTCCGAATCCAATCCTTGTTCTAGTTTTCTCCGTTACGATGATGGTATTCTCTAGCTATGCCATACCCATACCACCTGCGGGTACCGGAAGCGGAGATGAGTCAGCGATTTCACCTCAGACTATGGCCTGATTCATCGTGCTCATCGCTTTTCGGGAATGAGCGAATACAATAACTCTGGGCCTTTCGTACATCATGTCCTTGCTACCGCTTCATTCTGGTATGCAACTCCAGCTCCATCCTGATACGCACATTCTCGAGCAAGTGATCGCCAACTCGTTTTCTCATCGACAGCTTGCATCGGACGACGGAGATGCCAGCATCTTCTCGACGAACGGCCAAGCAATCCCAAAGCGGACGATTACGCTGCTATATGCTGCGCCTCTTACCCATCTTGACCACTTTGAGCACACCTTTGATGATGTGGAAAGGGCTTTCGGGTCTTACCGCCTCTTCAATGCCAATGGCATGTGTCATCTCGGAGTCGATGGCACCCGCTTTCCATAGAGGGGATTTGCTCTTCCTCTCCAATCGGAGCAACCACATCCAAGCTGGCGAAATACCAGTCGTATGGTTTGCTGGCAGAGCTCTGCCAATGGTTCATCGGGCGATCAAAGTCTCTGACATTGGTGGAGATGATGATAATTCCTCACCAGGGTAAGACTGCTCTCACAGCTTCGGTGTAGCGACATCGCGGCTAACGTAACATAGGCAGTCCATAGTCACTAAGGGTGACAATAATGAAGTCGATGACATTTCCATGTATCCTGATGGGCGAACCTTTGTAACGAGAGACGAGATCATGGGCCTAGTCGTAGGATACGTACCGTACCTTGGATGGGTTTCCATTGCACTTCAAAAGGTCGTTGAGGCAAAATATCTTATACTGTTGCTCGTAGTTGCTGTCATGTTTGCCCGCTAGTTCAACAGCTGCTCACCTCCGGCTTCACTTCTCGGTATCTGTTTTCTCCGCAACCCCGAATGTCAGCGTACTAGTTCAGTCTTAGCCATGATCTTTTGCACAAGTCTGTGTGTCTCGTATACGCATGTAGATGCTATGGACGAATTTGATGACCTATTTAGTGATGGGGTGGGGCGCATCAGGCACCTCCAACGTAAGATGATACACGACCATAGACCTTGTAGGGGGTTACCTTTGTGCGGTCCTAACCCAAGGAATTTGCCGAACTGTACTCATGTAAGACAGATCCTTTACCTGAACGACCGTCGTTTATACCATTCTAATGAGATGACATGCTTCGCGGCAACACCGATTGGACGTATGAGACGCTTGTCAACCGAGCATCGAGATGCCACTTGAACGTACCTAGGCATCGACACTGATCAACTGATGGGAATTCAAGCAAGACACAGTGATACGCTCAAAACATGCAAACGTTTCAAACCCCGTGTAGCTTGTTGAGACTTGCCTTGGTAAATATATGTAGTTCCGTCGTACCTCTCTACTGCCACCATCACCTTATAACCCTTATTTCACGGCTATAATACGATTGTATCACGCCAAATCTATCAAGGATGGTAAGACACAACCAAATCACGCAATTCGATGGCCGTCTGGATGATACCTCACCGGTAAGGCATCTCGGGAATGTTTTACTTTATGCCTGCACGAACCTAGCCTTGGGCGTCCCACGATCATCTCTCAAAGTCATGGATACGGGTGGATGGTCTCAAAAAGTTCATCCGTCTCATCCTTGATAGGCCACAATAACTGAATCACCTCATCGACGGAGCATTTTGACTGAACAGCCCCCAGTTGCTGCAATAAACGAAGCACCTGTCTTACATGCAAGTAAGCTTCTCGATCGAAAACTGACGGATAGCTTGAAGGCAAGCTCTTGGAAGCATCACATTCAGGAAGACAGCCCAGGTATAAAGTCTGCCTGGTCCACCGTACAACTGTGTTTCCAGCACGCACATTTCCTCATCATTCAAGGCAACAAGTCCAGCAAAAAACTCTTCAACCCAACATCATCAACATGTTTTCCAACGCCAAAAGCCTCATTGCTCCCATTGCCCTTTTGGCACTGGCTCAGCACTGCCCTGCGCCCTTCCTCGCCGCCATTCCCGCTGCTACCGCTGCAGGCATTGGCGCTGCCGTAAGTGCATCCATTCGCAACCACGAATGTGAACAACACTGACATGATGTAGAGTGCAGCTGTTTCCGCAGCTGGCACTGTCGCCGGCACCGTCGTGACTGCGATTAACGGCAAGAGGGCCCGCGATGGCACCCAGGTCATCCACGCCCGCGACAACTGGGCTGGACTTCACAGCTACGTCTCCAAGCGCCAGGATGAGGAATTCGGCACTGGAACCGCGTGGCAAGACTGCGCCGATCAGCTCAAGGGAGCTGACGTGACTTTCGAGGGAACCGGTCCTGGTGGTAAGTCCGATTCGCTCTACTACTGCAACTTGTCTGTGCACTAACGTCGTGTCTTCCAGTCATTCTCGTCAGCGGCATTCCCCCTGCGTGCATGACTTTGGCCACTGTCATTACTGGCAAGTTCAACGCTGGAAACCCTGTACCCCAGGGAACTGACTCCATCTCCTTCACTGGTCTTTCCAACGAGGACGTTCAGGCTATCCAGGATGCGCTTGATGCCAGGCCTACCTAGAATTGACGCCCAGATCTCACTCTCAAGCTCTTATTGGAAGTGGTCTTGGTTGAACGGTTGTAGCTTTCTTTTCGGTTGATCACACACTCGTTTGGTTGTACGTACATGCACTGAAGTAGAAAAAGAATCTTGGCCAAGAAGCTCTAATTGACCATGATGTGATGTCAGCTCCTTTTGACACTTGAACCGCAATAAAGCTATAAGACCTACTAGGGATGAAGTGGGGGTTGCAATAAAGAAGAGGTTCAGGCGAATTACACCTTCAATGCATGAACCTCCGCTTGCATGGCCAGATCCAGTGACCAGGCTTACCCGTGGATATGATTGTTCCCATCTGTGTGGCCTCTTGAGACATGCTGACATCATTCGCGTCAGCTTGCGAGGGTATTCTATCGATAAGAAGAGGCAAAGCCCCAAACGACTTCGCTCCTTCCTCCACTACCTTCATTCACACCATACCATCATGCTTCTCCACCTCCTCATCCCAATCATTTACCTAGCCACCTCAATCCTCATATTCCACCTCGCGCTACATTGTCACAGTCAGACCCATCGATACTACTTCCTACCCTTCTTCCTCCTCTTCGCCTCCCTCTCCATCACATCCTCCACACACTTCATATGGATACCCGGGCTGACCAGTCTCTGGACGCAAGCCATGGTGCTGAACGTTCCTCACGTGTTCTGTCTACTTTACATACGAAAATGGCCCCTTCCGCGCCCACCTGCTACATCACCGCCTCTCAGCCGTTTTGCTCGGTTCCGATACCAGTGGCAAGCAACGTATCGCTTGTGGGGTAATCCGCAACTCATCAGTGTTAGTCCGGACTCCAACACTACCAGCGATACAGACAAGTCTAGTCAACCTATTTCAGTCTTCCTGTTCTTACGACTAGTAAAACTGCCGATCTACTACTACATCAACTTCGAAATCCTACCCACTCTCGTCGCCGCAGTCTTCGGCGAGATATACCCCGAGGACGTCTCTGAAGAGAAGCAAATCTTACTCCGACGCTGGCACGACGTCACCACACGAGACTTCTTGATCCGGGCCTACGTTTCGGTCATCTGGGTCTGGCAAAGCGTGGTGTACCTAGACGGAACCAACGCCATCCTCGCCAGTTTTTTCGTCAGCATCGGCCTGGATCGTCCTTGGGATTGGCCCCCTCTATTTGGTAATCCTAATTCTATTACCTCGTTGAGAACGTTCTGGTCTAGGTTCTGGCATAAGATTGCTCTTCAGCCGTATACATGTATCGGAAGAGCTCTTGCTCGCCAGCTCAACTTCCGTTCCGACTCCTACGAGTGTAAAGTGTTTGTTGCTTTTATCGTGTTTGGCCTTTCTGGGGTATCTCATGGTCTTGTGAGCTGGCAGACAGGTCGTGATGGATGGACGGACGTTTGGTGGTTCATGGTCAACTTCATTGCCTGTTTGATGGAGACAATTTTCTTGCAGCACTTCCTGCCTGCATTTGGTTGTCAGAGAGAACTGAAGTCAGTCAAAGAGAGTTGGTTGGGCGCGTTCATCGGACGGGTATGGGTTTTCGCGTTCTTTTTCTGGAGTGTTCCCAAGTGGCAGTATCCAGCCATGTACAAGGACGCGCTCCAGGCAAGACAGATGGCGGTATGGAGCTTGATATTCTCGAAGATGATTACGAGCGCCGAACGGGGCTGAGCGGGAATCAGAGTCCATTCATCAGTATGTAGATTGATATGGTAAAATGCTAGCGATGCGGTCAAAACTGCTGTAGAAGCCACATACTGTACAGACTCCACACGCCACCCACTAACACCAGTCCATGCAACGAATGCGAAATGCTTAAACAGCCACCCAATTTGAAAGCGAATGACTGCTCTCATCTCTACTCTTTCTCAGCATCCATCGCCGGCGGCGGCAAGCCGGCGGGGCTGATCTCCTTGTTTAGCGCCAAGCGCTCCGGGCTCACGATTTCTCCTGGGCTGAGAATGTTGCCATGTGCATCTGCAATAGGAATGTGAGAGGCGTCTTCGTCTCGCTCATCTGATCTACCGCGCTCTTCGCTCTCGGTCATGTTGTGCTCTTTGCCTTTCACGCTGCTGCTACGCTCAAAAGCTTCGGGAACCTTCTCGCTGAGGTCAATGGCGACGAAGGATTTGGGTAGTTTGACACTAGAACACATCAGTATGGTTTTCCAACGTAAATTGGGGGAGGTGGTATGCGCTTACGTGTGGAATTTTGCCCGAAGAGTCTCGAGGACTTCTTTCCAGTCTTGGTGGAGAGTGAGACTGCGACGTGGTGCAAAACCGATCATATGGCGTGAGTCCAGTTGTCTGTCCATGTTAGCGATTGTCGTATTGCATTGCATAGATTCATTTGACTTACACATCGAGCGGAGCAAAGGCGTGGCATCCTGGCGATAGAGTAATGCGAATGCTGTAGTTGAAAGTATGCGGCTTATCGTCAATACTAGCATTCTCCGATTCGTACAGCTCGAAGTTGATCTGTGACAAGTAGTCGAGCTCTGGGATAGCATTGCGTTCGATCTTGGTCTTGATACCGCCCTCCAGGATGCAGTTGAGCAGTGTGTAGATATGCGACTCCTTGGTGAAGTAGAAGAAACACTTGGGCATGTCCGACGCCTGCAGCTCTTCTAGGTCTCCAACGATCTCTTTAAGAAGTGGCAACGATGTGAGCAAGCCAATTTCTAGCTTCTCCTCACTCTCGATACCGTACTCCTGTGGCCCAATGTAATCGAACAGAACCTTGCACAAGTGATACATCTCGCGCAGCTTGACCAATCTCGCATCGGTTTGCGCTTTGGAGGCTGCAGTACCCAGACCCGAGTACAGCTTGAAATAAGACTCGTGTACATAGGACGGAGGCGCTGGGGCTTTGACGGTAATCTCAGACTTGCGCCTGAAACCCATACGGTGGGAGAGGCTACCGCGGTCATGGGTCTTCTCCGCGCTCTGCTCCTTTGCCTCGGCCTTAAGCTGGGCATCTGACGGTGTCGGACCGACGGGTATAGACTTGGCTGAGCTGTTGTCGGGTGTGGTCTGCTTCGATCCGTCTGCAACCGAGTCTTCATCCACAAAGCTGGCATCGGGAGTAAACACCCATTCAAGGAAGGCGCGGTTATGGAGAGCGTCGAACTTCATAGTATCGTATAGCTCAGAGATCTTGCTTGGGTCGACTTTGTCTGCGTCTCCAAATTCCTTGAACAGCTTCTCCCATCGCTCCTTGAACAACTCTGGCCCTTCATTACAGCACCAGCGTGTTTGGATGTGATTGACGTTAGTGTACTGAGACTGCCCTGTCGTTTGTCCTTCCGATGGTGGAGAGTTCAATGCAGCTAGTGAAGAAATGGCTTCTGACTCAATCTTTTTGAAGTTGTGGTTCATGACACGCTGATGGAACTTGATCAAATCCACAACCTGCCGAACGACAATGTATGGCTCTGGTACGTCCTTTGGCCATGCGAACTGAGGCGGAGCTTTGTCGCCTGCGCGTAGCAAGGTCTTGAGCTTCTTCTTGACTTTGTCCATGACGTCCTTTGCCGCGTTTGAGTCATCTAGAAGGTCCTTGCGTACTGAGATGTGTTCGGACTGATACTGCTCCTTCTCCAAGAATGACGCCCCGAAGATTTGTGCGCTGGTGGTCACTCGTCGCTCTGAACTGCTGAAGATGTGAACATCATCTAATACGTCCCTGTTCATCAGCAAAAGATCGTTGCGGAAGTTCGCGCCCATGTCCTGCGTTTGATGTCTAGCGGAGTGCGTCGGTTCGCCTCCCCATTTGATAATCAGTTGGAGCTTATCAAGGACCATGTTGTTATCTTGCGCAGTGATGCGAGACAATGTAACGCCAGACATGGAATCACTTCGATTCTTGAGTAGCTCTGGTTCGTCCTCGCCGGCAGCGGCAGTCTTTTCAGTGCCCTCAGCAGTTGTTGACTCTGGCTTTGGAGCTTCCGGTACCTCTTCGGGTAGAGTCTCTCCCGGTAGCAACTCTTCCTTCCGGCGTTTGCGGAACATGGGCTTGATTTGAACTTTGGTTCCAGGCCAAGCGCCCTTCTTGTTCAGATAGAGTTGCAGCTCGCGCAGCTTCTTAGTATCCTCGAGACCTTCATCTAGAGCTACCTTGACTGCATCACTCACGCTCTGCAACGCTATCTCTCCGATCAGCAATACTTCAGCCTGGTGGCCCTTGAGCAAGTCGACGAATGGTTTAGAATGGAAGGTATATTTGAACTTCTGTTTCGGGGTCCTGTCCGCATGGCGAATGACTGACACGACACCTTTGAGCTTCCATTGCGCCGCAGTTGCCGGAGGAGGTACCTCCAGATGATCTTCCGACATTGACCTTTCCTGTTCAAGATGCAGGTCGTCATCGTCATCGAAGGCAGGCGGAAGCGTAATCTCGGGTTCCGACATTGGCCCTTCTGGAGTCGAGGTAGAGGTAGTAGTGATTGTTGCAGGACTTAGTATTGAGGCGGGGTTGGGCTTCTCGAAACTAGGTGAGGATGCGATGGGCGTAGAGCTGAGTGACGTGTCAGGTGACGAAGGCATCGTGTTGGACTGCCGCATATGTTGGAGGTTGTGAGCATGATTGCCCACCCTTGACATGCTCGGACTCTTGAACAGCTTTCCAAGCGTCTTGCGATGGCCCGAGGCGCCCTTTATAGAATTGCCAGCACTATCTGTACCAGCTTGGGCATCTGCAGCCGCGTGTTGAGCGGCGTCCTTGCGTTGTTTTCGCGCAATTTCCTTCAAAAACATCTCCTTAAGAATGTTGGCCGCCTTATCGTAATAGTCACCGTTGTCTTTAACGAAGCTCCACCCGTTGACGTCGATAACATAGCTCTGGTCTCCAGTGCGCAGTAGATCAAACCCACACACTCGTTGTCCAAAACCTTCTGAGATCTTGGCTGCTATTGCAGCCTCGGACTCGCTGAGTTTTGTAACATAGCGGACTTCCTTGCCGCTAGGATTGCGCTTAACAAGACCGTCAACGACAGGTGACTTTCTTGTTTCGGCATGGCAGAAGGTTGGTCCGACCGTATATGCTTTCACATCCTCAGAGTTTTCTACCTGAAGAAATTGCTCATAGATGTAACTGCCTGTCGGTTCAAGGATGCCCCTGGGTACTTCGAGAGTTTCATCCTTTTCTGAGCTCTTGTTGTTGATCTTCCTGAACAGCCTCCGGCCGCCGCCTCCATCTTTCTTGTGGAAGTAGATGTGTATGTTATGGTCTTCGCCGCTCACTGGCTTCTCAACGAATGGTTTGGTGAGGGTAACGCCGTCGACGCGGATCGTGTTGTTGTCGTCGATGAGTTCAACGGATTTCGGTGCCGGGGAGCCTCCACCAGTGCCGTCTTGGGGTCCTTCCAGCCTCAGGCCTGTTCTTTCGTACAGGGCTTTCGCAAACTCGGCCGATGGCAGCTTGGGTCCACCGTCGCGACTGACATCAATACGTTTCGGCGTAGGAACGTTGAGCTTATCCAGTATACCAAGACACAGACGGCGATCCCACAGCACCTGCTGCATGGGCAGGTCGTTCACGCAGAAGGGCTTTCGCAATTTGGTGTAGGCAATTGCCTTGTCCAGTGGGAAGCCATCGGAGAAGAAGGAGATGAGGAAATCGCAGACAGGCCAGTTCTCGACGGCCTCGTCCAAGATGATCTTATCGCCAAAGATCTTGACTTCAAACTCGTCCACCAGCTTGCCGAAGATGTTGCGCGCAGGCTTGCTGCGTGCCTTTGACTCGAGCGCACACACGCCGATTATGCCCTTGGTCGGCTTCTTCTCTCTCATCTCCCGGCTTGCCGGACTGCTGCTGGTCGCCGTGCTTCCGCTGATGCGTCTCTGGGCTGTCCGGCTTCTTGAGCGGCGGGGCTGCGTCGACAGAGGGGGCTGCCCGGCGTGGGGAGAGGCGGGGTGGGCCGGGGCGGTGTTGGGGCTCGCCGTCTGGCTGTTGGCGGGCTGGTCTTGGGGGAAGAGCAATTGCGTGGGCGAGGTTTTGGTGCCGAGACTGCCATTCTGGCTCGAGGTAGTGACGGAGAGCGACGAGGTGGCCGTCGTGGTGCCGTGTGGGTTGTCCATCCTGGCTGGGTAGGGTCAGTGGGTCAACTTGGAATGTCTGGAGTGTGCATGTGAAAAAGCTCATGGCGCGGCCGTGATGGCCCATGACGTACGTACCGTCTGGTTCTGAGCCCGACACGGAACTTTTTCCACTCCAACTGTATCCGCGGTTGGAAATGGCAGAAACGAATGAGGATATTGATAGTCGCTTGGACTCTGTTGCTGCAGTGCCCGCGTCAGATCGCGGCTGTCGGAAGGAATCCGGCAGCAGCAGAGGATTAACTGGGGCGCTTGCAAGACTTCCCCGGGTGCTCTCTAGCGTGGGCGTGGCATCCGAGTCGTCGAGAGCGGAGCCAGACCAGGCATGTCCAAAATACTCAAAGATGCTGCTATCAGATGCCTTGGACGGGCGGCGTGCGGGCAGGCTCTGTCGAATCGCTGCGGCACCGAGCGAGGGGACGGACACGCTGGGACGCTCTACATTGCGCCCGCCCGTCTCAGGCTCGCTCGATCTTGCCTTTTGGCCGCCTGCGGACGCGCCGCTGGCACTGGAGAGCTGTCGCCATGATCGTGTGCTCTCGGAACTGGCTGTGCGGGATAGTGGCTGCTCCATGCTACTCGGTACGCCTTGCACCCGTGCGCCGTGGGGGAAATGGACAGTGGACGTTTGGCGACAGTATCCTCACAGCGTCTTCGTTCTTTGGAGCGCAGTAGAAGATGAGTCTCTATACATTAGGAAATGCGAAACACTTTCACGACGCGGTACGTCACTCAGCGCAACTTGGCAGCATGGTCGAATGCCACGATCTTAATGGACAGACTTGCATATGCTGTGCCGTTTCGAGCTCTAGATGTCCACCTTCGGGCTGCAGCGAGGCTATACGCGCGCCACGTGTTGCACATCACATCGGAACGGCGCCCGCCCAGGTTGACTTGTACCTAGGCTTCGGGGGTACCCCGTTCCGCGTCCCCATGTTTTTGGAAGATGATCAGACGATGCCGGTCATAGTTGAGGTAATCCCGATGTCTTGTGAGCGCGTTATCGCTGACGTGGTTATGAGCTGCAATTTGAAGCATAACTCACTAGACAGCATGGAAGCTTGTTGGTATTCTTTTTGCTATGCAAGGCGGTGGACCCTGAGTCGATCGCTTGGCGCCGTCACGCGATCTAATCTAATCTAATCTGATCATCTCATCTCCGCAGAAAAAGTTCTGGTCGCGTCGGCGGCTGCAACACCAGCCAGTTGATGCATGCGCTCCGGTCGTCCTTTCCCAACCTACACCCAACATGGCAGGCCCCAAGGTACAGCAGAGTGCCCGCAGCGGCCCAGTGGCCAAGCGCCAGAGAACACGGCGCGAAAGTGAGAAGAACGTCGCATCGCAGATCCGCCAGTCTAAGATATTTGCGCCGTTCCGAGTAAGCTTCTACAGCGCGACCAAGCACTTGCGCACAACTGACCCCATGACAGACAGTTGGCCTTGTGTCGCCTACAAGCGTTCCCTTCACAGCACTCCCGCTCGGCAAGACGACCTTCCAGATCACAACCTCAGTCGGCCGCTCTCTCCAAACGTACGATCTCAAGCGCGGACTCAATCTCGTCTTCATAACTCGACCGCAAACCCCCGAGGAGATTACTGCGACAGTCGCATGGAACAAGGTCGTCTTCGCAGCTTGGTCAAGCTACAGGAAAGAAGAAGAGCGTGGCGTGTGGGTATACCAGCGCGGGAAAAAGATTGCTGAGCTAGAGATACCACGCGGCGGCATACAGCGCATCAGGAAATTGGTCGTCCTTGGAGAATGGATAGTAGGATGCGGCAAGTACAAGCTTGAGGTTTGGAGGACAGCTACCCGCGAGCATTACACGACCCTCCACGGCGCATCGTCCAGTGACCTCTCGGGCTGCATCTGCAACATGCCCACATATCTGAATAAGATATTCGTAGGCCGCAAGGACGGCTCTGTCGAGATTTGGAACCTCAGCACTGCCAAGCTGCTATACACGCTTCTCCCGCCAGCCGCAGACTTCGGCTCTGTGACCGCCCTACAGCCGACGCCCGCTTTGTCCCTCCTCGCTATCGCATACAAGTCCGGCCCAATTACAATCCACGACATTCGCGCCGACAAGGAGATTATGCGCCTGAACACAGGTGGCTCGCAGAAATACCCAGTGACATCAATATCCTTCAGGACCGACGGACTAGGTGCTGGCGACGATGGTCGTGAAGACGGCGTCATGGCGACAGCCAGTACTCAGAGCGGCGACATTACCTTCTGGGACCTAAACAAAGGCGGTCGTAAGACCGGTACTCTGCGCGGAGCTCATGGTCCACCCCCGGCTGTCAGTGGAGGTGTAGGTGGCGGCATCAGCAAGATTGAATTCCTCGCTGGGCAAGCTGTGATTGTGTCAAGTGGCTTGGACAACTCTTTAAAGACATGGATTTTCGACGAAACCCCCTTCTCACCCCTACCGCGCATCTTGCATTCTCGTGGCGGCCATGCTGCGCCAGTTTCGACTCTTCGCTTCCTCCCTTCCAACTCAGACGGCTCCGATGATGTCGGCAAATGGCTTCTTAGCTCGAGTCAAGATCGAAGCTTGTGGGGCTGGAGTTTGCGACGCGATGGTCAAAGCACAGAGCTCAGCCAGGGTGCTCTTCAGAAGAAAGCGAAGAAGATGGGGCTCTTGAACGGAAATGCCGAGACTTCCAAGCACCACATCAAGTTGGAAGACCTGAAAGCGCCAGCCATCACCTGCATGGCTTGTTCTCTCAACCGCGATGGTGGCATGGGCGCCATGCCTGGCGTAACTGGCATCTGGACCAATTCATCCAAGGTCAAGGGTCAGGACAAGAAAGCTACAGAGGTGAACATGACTGGATGGGAGAGCATTGTCACAGGACACGCTGGTGACAAAATCGCGAGAACCTGGTTCTGGGGGCGCAAACGGGCTGGTAGATGGGCATTCGAGACAGGCGACGGTACAGAGGTCAAGAGTGTTGCAATCTCGTCCTGCGGTACGTTTGCTGTGATTGGTTCCGCTGGTGGCTCCATCGACATGTACAACCTGCAGTCTGGCCAATTCCGTCGCAGGTTTCCCGCTCGACTCACTCCGGCGGAAGCCAAACAATACAAACTCCGACAATTACAAGCCGAGGAGGCTATGGACATCGCAGACGATTCGCCACGGAAGTTTGCAAAGGGCGAAGGCAAACACAAAGGAGCTATCACTGGTCTTGCCGTAGATGGTCTGAACCGTACGCTGATAAGCTGCTCCGATGATGGCAAAGTCAAGGTAAGTAACTATTTCTCCCACTGCTGATTAACACTAACTCGTTTTTAGTTCTGGGACTTCGCTACCGGCATATTACTTCACGAGATCGACTGGTACCCCATGACAAAGATTCACGGCCTACGCTACCACCGAAACAGTGATCTGATAGCACTGAGCTGCGACGATGGCTCAATCCGTGTATTGGACATTACCACGAAGAAACTCATTCGAGAGCTATGGGCATCGAAGTCCCATGCTGCGTTGCAGACTCTCGACTACACATTTTCGAGCGACGGCCGATGGATCATTTCTGCAGCCTCTGACTCCACAGTCAGGGTATGGGACTTACCGACGGGCCATCTTATCGACGCCATGAAACTTCGCCGAAAGTGTAACACAGTGGCCTTCTCACCTTCGGGCGAGTTTCTCGCTACCGGGCTGGATGGCGAGGTTGGTGTGCACATTTGGACAAACCGAACACTCTTCACTCATGTTTCAACCCGCCAAATAACAGAAAATGATGTCGTCGAAGTGAATGCGCCGACAGCATCTGGCGAGGGCGGTGTCGCCGTCGTCGACGCTGCGACAGAAGAGCAGGCAGAAGACGAGGATCAGGACGAAGTTACAGTGCCAGTCATGGACCAGCTCAGCGACAAGATCACAACACTCAGCTTAGTCCCGAAATCTCGCTGGCAGACACTGTTACATCTCGATGTCATCCGTGCCCGCAACAAGCCCAAGGAGGCTCCCAAAGCGCCAGAGAAGGCGCCTTTCTTCCTCCCATCCCTTGGTCAGAATCAAATTCAGGGAGCAGACAACACTGCTCTCGCACCACTCGACCAAGACCCCAAATCTCGTATTTCCAGCTCCGCGCTTGCTTCGCGTTCTAGCGCCGCCACGGCTACTGATGTGTTCAGCCGTCACCTTGCACATGCGACCGAGACTGGCCAATATACACCTCTCCTAAGCCACCTCTCTTCCCTTCCTCCGTCGGCCGCTGACATCGCAATTCGCACCCTTGACACGACGGAGCCTTACACTGAGCTACGAACTTTCATTGAGGCATTGACTGCGAGACTACAAGAACGTCGAGACTACGAGCTGGTACAGGCTTGGATGAGTGTGTTCCTGCGACTACATGGAGACATTGTGGTCAAGGATCCCGAGCTTGTGGGCGAATTGAGGAAGTGGCAAGAAGAGGCAAAGAGGGAACGTGAAAGGGTTGGTGGGTTAGTAGGATATAGTGTTGGTGTGGTCGGATGGGTCAGAAGCGCAAGATAGGCTTCTGGTTGCATGTGCATGTTTAGCATATTTCGCAGCTGTCGCCTTGTTCTTGGCCTACCAGTTGACACAGAATCAATAATTACGGTACTCCTTACAGTTTCAAGTTAAGAACTTTCGATGCTCTCCAGCATGACTTCGGTCATATCTCAGACGTATCTTGCCCCACTGTCGTCTGATGTAGAGCAGGTGTTGCGCCCGCTACAGACATTGAGATCTGCGCAGCCATGCCTTCCGCACCCAGCAACTTCCCAGCTGGCTTCCAGCGTAGCAGTTTCGTCACATGGCTGCACCGTGCCTCACCCAACTCCAGAACCCATCGTACTTCGACCACCTGGAAAGCCATGGCAGGGATCAATCACAGGAAACCGGTTCTCAGACGACCAAGAAATGGTAATCAGAGCTTCAGTCTCTCGAAGAGTTTTCCTAGGGTTTGATGTTTCACAAGGATGCCTGAGTTGCCCGGGCTACATACGCTTCATTCAAAGAACACGATGCAATCATGCTCTACGAGCCGTTGCAGATACATGCCTATGCAGCCACCACTGCGAGTTCTATTACCTAATTTCATGAAGTCTTCATTAAACAAACTCGAGCTCATGATGATCGTGAGGCAGTGTTGTACGTGGTTGTGACCCGCTCTGCAGGTACGTTTCTCCACCATGACATCACAGCAAAATACATCATCGCGATGACACAAATTGATCGCGACGAGAACTTCTTACCCCTCATACTCACACTCACAAATCTTCCACTGCTCTTACTTTCAGCTCAAGCCCAACTACTACTACACCAACCAAACCTTACTCACATACTTCATCATGCCTCGCAACGGAGACGGATCCTCAGACAACGGCCCCATCGAGGTCGGCAAGGACGCTGTCCACGGCGCCTCTGGAGACGTACGTACCCTCATCTACCATCGCACATCTCAGGCTGGAGACTAACAGATACCAGTCAACCCTCGAGCACACCAAGAACAACGTTGCTCCCATGCCTGAAATCGAGAAGGGCGAAGGTACGACCCGGCTGCCCCACCTACCCCTCTCCGCATCCCAAGCTCTTTTCCAAAACCACAACGAAGAAAGAAAACAACTCTGCGAAGAATGCAAGCACTGACACGACGCAGCTATCGAAGGCATGAACGCCTCCGGCGGCGGTCTCGCACCAAAGAAAGGCCACACCGGCCAAGGCGCCCCCGCCACCGACTCGAACAAGCCCGCGCCTGTCGACGAGGTCACCAAATAAGCTATCACCACCAGAGCAAAGAGCGACAGACATGCGCTCGGCCTCTAGGGAGGACATCCCCGGTGCCAACAAGGGGTCCGGCTAGCTAGCTAGTAAAGCAAAGCAAGGGAGTAACATCTACAAGTGACAACGGACTTTTGCGAGTAACATCGGTAGTTGCGTTGCATTGCATTGCATGCTTGCAAGCGGCGTGGGCCCCTAGATAGCTACGAAAGTAACGAATGGAAGTCAAATAACTCAAAGACGATCTTCTTAACAGCATGTGGTTCTAGATTCCTGTGTTGGTGGGGCCAAAACGCGGTGTGAATGTTCGTGCGGTGTACATGCTGTTCTCCCATGCCATGTTCCCTGCGACGCCAAAATGGTGTTGATGGCTTACGCCGTAGACTCATGGTAAGCGAAGACCGACGCACAATTGCGAAAGGCCGAATTTCACGTTCGTCCGTCTGTCTATGTACGGGACGAGCTGAGCCATGTGAAGATTACATGACTCCTTCCTTTCGTATTGACGGAGTCCACGGAAGCCAGACGTCCCGTAACGGCCTATGAATAGACCCTGTGTACGTACTCCGGTCACGTCATTAGGCGACCTAGAAATAAGTTGGTTCTCATGTCATCGTGGCTGCTGGGCAAGTAGTTTTGAGTGGAGGCGGCTGGCGTCAGCCTGCATGCGAAGTCAGTCTCGCCTCAGCTGAGCCGGAGTCCGAAGCGGAGGGTTGGGATTGTTAGCGTGGGAAGCTGGAAGGGGGCAGAATCGTGGAGAATCGGTGGCCCTGGTGGAGCGGCAGTGGGGAACTTTGGTACTCAACAAAAAGCACATGTGAAAGGGTAGAGCATCAACAACATTGAGGAAATATCACGATGGGAGGAAGTAATGAAGTGGTAGATCATGGTATTTGGCTAGATAAAGGCACCAGCCCTTGGTGAATTTTGTCCGCCATAGCCTATCCAGGAAGCGATATCCAGAATGGTTACCAAGTCTAAAACGAAACTGTTGCTACAAGAGTGTACACGCTCATGACGCCGTCCGACGCCCGGTAGTGATGCCACACTCCATATTTTCCCAACCCAGTGCCCCTGTTAACCTCAATGACCGAACCTTACGCCGACCCAATTGTCTAGGCCTGGAAGACCTCATCATTCGTGATCCACAGCCACCATCCACCAACTCGGTTTGCTTCTTCGCCCCCTTGGTGGATCTCTTGACGGCGTCAGTGCTAAAGTTGTCCCGCTGCGAGGGCCTCGTCGCTAACCGAAGTTGCGCCAGAGGCACTCTGCAAGTCGTTGAACTTTGCATCAAAGCCGTCAAGAAAGCCGTAAGAGTTTGAGTAAGAACCGTGGTCAAAGGATGTTGGACCGAAGGCATCGACTGAAGAAGAATCGACCATGCTAAAAGGGGGTTCCATTGGGGCAGTCGTTGTTGGACTGCACTTTGGGAACGGGTCGAAGTCGAAGAAGTTCTCCATGACGACAGACTTTTCGTCGACTGGAGCGTAAGGTTGAAGAGAGAGAGGTAGGCCCAGGTCGCCCGTAGAGAGGCCTCCGAAGTCGACTGACACGGCAGGTCGCACAATATCGCGGCAGGATATTGTGTCGAGTCGAATTCGGGAGAAGCCTCAAAGCTTGATGGGGGAGTCTCAGGTTGGCACGATGAGTCACGGGGTGAGTCCATCGAGTCCATTGACTCTGGGCTGGGGAAGGAGGTGGGAATCTGCGCGGGGCAGATGGTGTCGAAGGTGTCGCGTGGTGGTGTAGCGAGGTCGAAGACAGGTTGAGGTGCTTCGCCGGGGTACTTGGAGCGGAAATATCTCAGCTCGGCCTCCATCTCAGCCATCTTTTGTTTGTAGGCTTGCATGTTGGCCTCGAGCTCGTCCTTCTCGGTCTGGAGGACTTCGTATTCTTGGCGCTTCCGTTCGCGGGAGTTGTGGGCGGCGAGGCGGTTGCGCTTTACACGCTCGATGCGTCGTTGCTCCTTCTCGTCCTCGGTCTTGGCCCGCTTCCGTGGAGGCAGGCTGGTCTTGGGCTCGGGGAGCACCTGCCCCCACGACTTGCGCTTCTTGACGGGTTTTGAGCCATTGCTCTCGGGCGCTGGTGTTTGTGATGCTTCCGACGAGTTGGACGAGTGGTGTGCGGGTGAGGGTGAGTGGTCGTAGTTCTCGATCATCTCCATTTTGATAGTAGTAGGCATGGCCTCGACTGATGGTGGGGGAAGGGGCGTGGAAGTCATGGCGGAGTTGTTGATGGTTTGGGAAAACAGACTAGAGTCGAAGGTGTACTGAGCCATGGTGAAGTCGATGTAGGATGGAGCTCTGAGTGGGCATAGTGGGTGATTATCACTAGGACCCGGGCTGTGCGGCGCTGAGGACAGGTGGCATCTACGGACCCTTTAATAGGCAGCTGCCAAGCGCACTTCTGGACCCCTTGAACGCTTGCCCGCATCGGGGCCGAGCTAATTGTGCCCACTCCGACACACGCCCCCCTACGCTAGGAACTCAGCCATCAGCCGCGGGCCGTCCATCGTTTCACGACCCAAGTCAGGGGAGTGTGTTGCAGTCGTCTTACAGCTGCCCGGATTTCGTTCCTGTGTCGCTGTGCCGTCGGTACCAGTCTCAGAGGGCGGCGCCGCTACTCCACGGCCTTCTGCCCCCTTCTGAAGCAGGCGTAAACGGCCTCATCCAACTCCGACGTGCAGTCACGGCGTAGCACAAGCTGATATTAGCCTTCTCACCGACCCACCTGTATCACTCGCTGCACCTCAGTGGCGACACGAAACAAGTTCAATGTAGCATGTCGTAAGATGCCGTCAGCCAAACCCAATACGCCCTTACGCCGCGCTGCATCCATCTCCCTCCGCGTCGTCTTCACAGTCACGCACACCCCCCCCCAAATTATTGCGTGCAATATGCTCGTATACTTCACCCACGGCACGTGTAGATGAAGGCCCGAAGCCATTCCTTCTCGAAGCATCTGCACCCCATAGTTGCAATCTATTTGGCCGCGTCGCTAAGCATTCCACCCACACATCTTCATATCCCCACACAACCTTGCAATCTACAACCACCTTCCATAGTGCGACCTACTGCCGGAAGATTTGCGCAACCTGGGGTAAAGTTCCTTTGTTCGTGGAAGCACCGGGAATGTGCATAGAAGCTTAGCCTTAGCTTCCTTTCTTTATTGCTGCTGCAAACTGAAGCGTCACACGAGGCCCTTGGTTTCCGGCTTTATTCAAGCAACGCATCCCTGGTGGGTTTCTGGCTGTTTCCATTCGGACTTCACGAACATGTGAGACGGAGGCTCTCCGGTAGTAAGAAATGACAAGCCGGTGGTTCGTTAAGCCGCACTCATCATCATGCGGCACCGAAATTACTTTTGCCTTATCGTCATCTGGTCGTCCCATTGTCCGTTGCCACTACGCAATGGACTGAATGCGCAGGATTTGGAGAACAGGATTCCAGTCTCGAATAAAGACGGGTTGCGTAATACTAGGCTAGCGTCTCGAGCGTGCTTTGTCGTGGACATCGTGCGCTGCTCCACAGGCCGACTCGTCACCGTTTCAGGCACCAGAATTCGGACCTATCGCATCGGAGCCGCCTCCAATCCAACGGTCCAGATCTTAGTCGTCACGTTCTTGACTCAGTACATAGGATCTACCTCAGTAATACTACCGCCTACACGGCATGCTCCAATGAGCTGTACAGGACTACGTGCGGCTCTGATTAGTATTACCATGGAGCAAATGGCTCCTGTTCATCGTGAGAAACATAAGGATGTCGGCTGACCTTCATGAAGCCAATCCGGCACGATCCGAGAGACGAAAAGGGGAGCATGCTCACGACGACCGCGATCATTGCCCCCTGGGTAGCTGTCTCAGTACCAGATCATCACAGCAATAAGACTGCCGCCTACGCGTCCTCGTTCAATGCGGGCCACGCAATGGCGGAAACCAAGACGTTTATCGACGAACCGGCTCTTGTGTATATCGAATCTAATCAACCAAAGCAAAGCTGATCTAGGCGCCGACCTCTCCATCGAGACCATTGCTGCCACGCACACAGTACCAGCAATTATGCTAGGCATCACTAAAGAAGTCTCGTCGTCATGCGTACATCTTCAGGCCGTAGCATACAACGAGAATGAACATGACCACAAACGTCATTACGATGTTTCTTCGTCATCACCGTTGTCATGTGTGCCTATGTTTTATGTGCAATGTGTATCCTCGAGACCCCGAGCATTGATGCCTAGATCACTTCGATAAGCGTCTGTATGCCCGCATAGTCGCAAAGCAAGCAGCGTTAAACTGCTGCCTATCCCAGCTCGGCCATCGAGAAATGATTCAGATGACTAGTCACCCAGCGACATGCCCGGAATACTCATGAAGTAAACAAGAGCCACCTAGGGCAATCGAGCGACTCAGCATGAAGGATAAGATAATGCTCAGAGATTGCAGGTCCAGCTTACACACACATGATCAAAGAGTGACCGTGCTATCATTTCCTCAAATCTGCATACACAAAGCCAGTCAAGTATCGACCTCAGAAAACGGGACACGTTGTGTGCAAAGGCGGTCACTCGCTGTCGCATGACATCAAAAAGGCATATACGACCAGGCAGTGAACAAGCAAATAGTGAAAGGTATATCGGCATTTCTCTATCAAGGAGCACCTGTCACTCCATCTATGGTCACCGTAGACCTCTAACATGAACGTAGCACACCAATCGAACACCGACATGATGAATAATGGATTGAGGATGCGCCGGAGGTGAAGAATTGATAACCATGACCGATGAGGTTGTTGCTGTCAAGAGGAAGCATATACTGAGGTGTATCGAGTCGTACCCCCAGCCTCAGGTATGGCAACTATTTTTACATCGTTCGCAACCTCGCCCCGTCCTGGAAGCAGGAGTGGTATCTAATGAAATTATGTGAGCACAACAGTTTTGGGACATCAATGTAGTTTGAATGTCTCAAACCGGAACGCCCACGAAACCAATCTTCGGTTTCACTCTCGCACCGTCAGTGCTCTCTCCGCCCCATTGGCTGCGCCACTCTTGTTCTTCAGCCTTGATCTGCTCAAACGCTTGTAGTTCTTCGGGCTTCATGTTCGACTTGTCCTCGTCGTCCAGGGTCGGTAGACCGTTTGTACCGACGTCAACGAAGTCACCATCGGGCCCGGGTATGCCCAGGCCGGCGAAGGGAGGTTGTTGAAAGACCGAGTCGACCACGAGATACTTGCGACGAACGAGTGGAGGTACGTCGGTCTCTTCCGCAGGAACCTCCTCCCAACGTGCATGGGTGGGTTGTGTGACCTTGGGATAACACATCAGGTTGGTATGTGGGTCGTATACGCCCGTGAGATTTGCTTTCCGTAGCTTGGAGAGGTTCGAGTTGAATCGACTAGGGTATGTTAGTCCTGGTAGTCATAGATAGGTGTAAAAGTTATGCATACCTTGCAGCGCGACCATGTTCAAACTGCCAGTTGGCAGAGGTGATGTTGACCTTCCGTTTTCCAGGGGCAGGCTTGCCATTTGCAGTAGGTACACTGGGCACACCGGTGTGATAGACACTACTGGCACCATGCCAAGCGACGTATTGATTCTTGTTGTATGGCTCTCCTGGAGGTGGAAGCCTGTCGTTGGGGTCTGCAAGCTCGCCCTCGACTGCGCCGCTTTCCTTTGCTGCTGTAACGTAGTAATCGTCAATGACCCTCTTGCCGCCGATGATGATGCGCGCGCCGAACTCGCGGAAGACAGATCGTGCTGTGACGACACCGATGGCACGACCCTTGTAGGAATGAGGTATGATGTCGCGGTCGATCAGGTCCCTTTTCTCAGCGTCGTCGATGATGATCTTGTAGAGCTTCATGTGCTTGGTGAAGAACAGATAACTATCCCTAAACCCACAGCATCGAGCCGGTTCAGTCGACAACATGTACTGTCTGTCGCCCCTGCCCTTGATGGTGAATATGCGCACGCGGTAGTCTCGTCCACCCATGAGGTTACCCAGCTTGTCGACCTTCTGCTCGCCCTCTTCATCTTCTGGTAGGTCAACCTCATCGTTGACTACGTCCATCATGTTGCCCTCTTTGTCTATAGGAACGCGCGTGGTATGCGACGGCCCTCCCTTTGGAGGCCTTCCTCGACCTCCACCAGACGGCCGTCCCCGCTTGCGCTTGACGGGTGTGCCGCCTTCGGAGTTGTCGGGCTCGATGACATTCCAGTCCGGCGGCCTGTTCTTAGGAGGGCGACCAAGACGCTTCTTGCGCGGAAATGGCTGGATGACTGCTGGAGACGGCGAACGCTCAGAGGGCGCGGCTTCCTCGTCGCTTCCCTGAGCTGCGGATTCAGCATCTTCTTCCTCCTCCTTGGGTGTGTCGGCGCGCGATTCTGGTGCATCTATCATATCCTCGTCGCTGTCTTGCTGGGGTGTTGCGCTGCGAACAGGCGTGCTGCGACGCGCTGCAGCTCGCGATGGGCGGCCGCGCGCCATTGTGGCTGGTCGAAAACGGCGTTGATGTGGCGTAGGTGAAGCTAGCAACGGTTGTCGCGGTGTGTTTGTAACTCCAACTTCGGGGTTCGGATGCAAATTGGGTGAAGGGCGGTGTCGGTGGTTAGCGATGCTCTTGCACTCCAGGAATGCTAAGGACCGCGACGTGAAAGAGCTAAGCAAGGGTCCCGCGCACGGCCCACGGTCATCACGTGCAAGCTCAAGCCAGGCGTTTTCGTCAACGTCTTCCCCAGACTAAACGTACATTCTCCAATACCTCACAAGTGGCCATCGTTGATCAAGCAATCATACCCACTGCAGTAAACGATGTCAATACCTGTCATGTCCAAGCAACGGCACGACCTCGGGAAGCCCCAAGCATATCGCATCTCCACCTAGGTATTACGGGAATCATGAGAAACGAGCTCGTTGGACAGGTCTCTTCAACATCATACCAGCGAACATGATACCTGGAGTTATTTCTCTTAGAACAAACGGGTTCAGAGTATTTTATGAGCGCGTCGTCTGCATCCGCTCAATTTGTAGAGGGGTTGATCCTGCCAAAACCACCATACGCTCTTGGAACTTGCCACCTTGAAGTACACAGAGTCAACTCGGCAGGACCAGACGTGTATATCAACAAACATGGATCAGATGTCAGGAGCGCCGCTCCAACAGCTCCCACACACTCGTGGCCTCATCCGTTCGACTAAGCCCGTAGCCTCAACCACACTGCCGAACCTACAGTGCAGTACTGGGATAGTGACGAACAGCCACCATGCCTTTTGATCGCATCATCAGTGCCAAGAGGAGCTTTACGGGTATCTTCTCTCGAATGAGTATAGCTCCGTGAGTCGGAGATGTTCTTTTCTCTGCTCTGCTATGCTGACATTGTCAAGTCCCTCGCCGCCCTGCTCCGCTAAGCACAACGAGAACAATGCACCAAGCTGTGAGACTCCAGGACCATCCTCTCCAGTCGCGAGCTCAACTTTGCCGGACTCTAGCGACGAATCGCCTATCAGAGAGAGTCCGTCAATGCGCAAAGGTCTAATGGGCTCGTTGCGAAAGCAAAAGCTGCGGAGCATCGGCTCTTTACGTAGCTTGCGCTCACCTACCAAGACCAAGCAGTCTGATACATCAGAGTACCTCATAGATAGTGTAAGCATCTTTCCCCACAACGGAGAAACGACGACTGACTCTCTTTCCTCTAGAGTCCGCTGACCCCGAAGCACCGCCTCAACTCATCGCTTTTACTCTACTTCGAGGAGTCTCCCCCAGACAGACCAATATTCGATCTTGACCGCATGGACTCCCGAACCTCGAGTTTATATGTCCACCATTCCTCGCCGGTACCGGTCCCATCACCCTATGAACAGATTCCGCAATCACCTGCCGATTCATCGCTCATACTAGATGGAACTGTTCCACCATCACCAGCACCTATCCAGAAGATTCTGGACTCAGAGAAGACCATGGTTCGTTCGTCACCAGCATATACCCACGGGTACGAAACAGTTTCGGAAGCGATGAAAAGGCCAGCTTCAACAAAAAGCGCTCTGTCTGACAGTCTTCGGGAGGCTGCAGTCTACTTCAATGAGCCTCTCGTTCGCTTTCCAAACCCAGGATCCGAATATCTGCCTATCGACGATTGCTTTTCACTTCCTGCTAAGAGCGAAGACTTAGGTCAGACATCAGCCCGAGAGGATCCGTCTGGGGTGGATCATGTGGATAATTCGCCAGTCTACAACAAGCCGGATAAGCCATCAGAGGATGCGACCACTGAGGTCTCCAATGCAACGAATACAGACAGGACACCAGAGGAACATGCACAGCTCATCCTTGAGAAAGGCTACCAGGCATGCGTCTACCGTCGAGCAGACGGAGAGTGTCGTCTGAAAATCAATCTGCTCGCCTTTTGTCATGAAGATGACGACGACTGCGAATGGAACATCAAAACGCAAATTAGGTTTGCTGCCGCAGAAGAAGAAAAGCTGGCGTCACAATTGAGCGCCATCATTCGGAATGTGGGGCTTACCTCTATGTCTGACAGCGAGCTCGATGAGGCTTTTGCTACAGGAAAACTTCCAGCCAATCTGGATGTTGACCCGAGTTGGCAGGTCGTGGAGGAAGTGAATATGGGAAAGCGTGACAGTTCCTGGGGCGAGCATACTGGGCTCTACGATGGTAGCGGCTATGGGTCAAGTTCCAGCTCCCGACCTGTGACTGGTGTGACTGAGACGGCCGACGTACCTCATACACGTATCCCTGGAGCATTCGTCGACCACGAAAATGAAGCGCCTATGATCATCCGCAGGCTGTGGGACAATACCTATCCTCACAGTCCAGATACGGACTCGCCTGTGAAGGCTACCGTGGCTGATCCCGCAATCTCCGCAGCGCAAGAGCAGCACAACAACCCCTTGCAAGACTACGAAGCCTTCCAGGGCATGTTGGATCTTGGTGGCAGTGCATAGATCATCGGGTACGCACTTCGTTATGCAGGGTCGTTTAAATTCGCTGGGTCGGGTCGGGCCCTGAAAAGTGTGACAGTGACCGATCAGGAACGGTACATCCGGCATCCTTCCCAGCAAACAGTATTCCATCGATAGAGTCTCCATAGTTATCAATGCAGCCCACAAGTTTCTTCCACATACGCGTCTTCCAGCTCATCCCACACATGCGCAGCGCGGCGTTCGCGTGCCCCAACTCTCATGATGGCACCACTGTACCCAATAGCCGTACATGTAATCAAGGTTCCAGTCCGCAGATCATCCGAGTGTTGCATCAGTTAGTCCAACCAACGGTAATCGAAAGCAGCGAAGATCCGGGCTCCAGAAGGTGTAGGAGGGAAATCAGGCCATGTCGGCTCATGCGACTTACCCGAGTCTGGGACGGTGACTGGGGTGTGCAGTGGAGTTAGCGAAGATGTGCGGAACAGCTCGTACGATGTTTAGTATTTTGGGTGGGCAGCAACATGATCTAACACATGATGATTATGCTGTGATGTGAGACGCCGCTGGTGTGCCGGCCTTGCGCGAAGAGTACTTGCTGGCGTGCTTAAAGGCGTGGTGGCGGGCGGCTTCGAGGCTGTTGCGGTGTCCCTCGGTTTGCCCCGCGTGAAGTTCAGAATGCCAGGCCAAATCCATGCTTCTTGTGGGGAGAACGCCAACGACGTCGTTATCCTTGGCTGCGGCATCATCGGCTTGTGTACCGCGTACTATCTCACAGAAAGCGGAAATACAGATCCAAAGAGTATTCATCTGGTTGATTCGAGTCCGAAGTTATTCCATTGCGCGTCTGGCCTTGCTGCGGGCTTCTTGAGTGCCGACTGTACGTTTGGCAGCGTACGACGCGTGCAACATCAGCGCGGCGCGTCGTTCAACACCTGAACACTTTGTCTAACTACGAATTAGGGTTCGCACCATCCGTAGCTTCCCTCGGCGCGTTATCCTTCAAACTTCACGCCGACCTTGCGAACGCGCATTCTGGACGTACAACATGGGGATATTCGCAGTCCACCGGAATCTCTCTTTCACAAGACAGCGAATCAGCCATTGGCGGTAGCGGCGAAGACTGGCTTGAGAATGGAACGAGTCGAGCACAATTAGCGAATCATAATAAGCCCTGGGAAGAACAGGCTGCCGGACCAGAATGGCTTCGGCGCACACAGGAAGGCATTATGGAGGTCATAAGTAGGGATGGGACGACCGCACAAATTGACCCGTTGAGATTCTGCCAGTGGCTTCTGAAAGAAGTTCAGAGAAGGGAGGTCACGATACATCAGCCCGTGACGGCGACAGCCATCATCAAGGATGCAGAGGACGTGCTGTGCGGTGTGAGGATATCAAAGGGTGATGGAGCTGAGTCGGAGACAGAGTGTAAGGCCCAATACATACTGCCCAACTACACAGTTGCTAACTACCTACAACAGTACCATGTAGTCGTCTCGTGATAACATCTGGTGCGTGGTCTCCCCGCGTATTCAGCACACTCTTCCCGTCCTCGAAAGCGCGCATCCCCGTCTCCTCGTTAGCCGGCCATTCGCTGCTCGTTCGAAACCCACACCACAGACCCGAGGAGCTCGACAAGGAAGTCTGCCATGCAGTCTTCGCAACAGATACACTCGGCTTCTCGCCAGAGTGGTTTGCGAGACTGGGTGGAGAGCTGTATCTGGCAGGACTCAATAGCACAAATATACCTCTGCCAGAGGTTGCAACAGACGTTCAAGCTAGTGCGAAGGCCATCGAGCAGTTGAAACAGTGTGCGAAGGCTATGATGGTCAATGTCCCGGGCAAAGACATGGAGATTTTGAGGGAGGGCTTGGTAAGTTGATACTGAGAGTAGAATGTTGAACTGGTTTGCTAATCGCAGGACAGTGCTTCCGTCCAGTCACATCCAGCGGCCGACCCATAGTATCGCGGATACCGGACGAAAAGCTCGGAGGCATCAGGACGAAAGATGAAGGGAATGGAGGTGTCTATATAGCGGCGGGCCATGGCGCCTGGGGCATATCGCATGCGCCTGGTACTGGACTTGTTCTGTCAGAGCTGATAGAGGGACGAGAAGCAAGCGCGAATATTGAGGCGTTGCAATTAGCATCGTAAAGTGCTCTTACTCAAACAAAAATGTGTATTGGGTACTCATCAACTGGCTATATCGACACCAACGTGCTGGCGCTGTGACGAGGATGAAATCGGACTCATTGCCTCTGACATCATCCAGTGCACGATATCCTTGGAGTTAGCGCAGGACTGCGCCGCACGTTCGCACGATGACTCCGCAGTTGGTCTTGTCGAATCGTCACACAAGCTACTATAGCAATTCCAAGCAAAAATAATGTCTACGAACCCCGCCGACGAGGTTGCCGCGAGGAAACGAGCTGAGCGTGAGAAGAACCCCATCCATATCGAACAACTGGACGCAAGCGTGTTGGCTGGTACGTTTCTAGTCAAACAACTACTTCGACTTCCCTGAAGCTAAAGACCATTCGCAGCACTACCAAAGGATGTGAAGATACTATCAATCAAACAGTCCGGTGAAAGCGCGTGGTGTGAGAGTTTCCGCATCGATACAAACCTACAAGATGGCTCGGAGAGGCAGTACTTCGTCAAGGTAGATTGTGTGTTTTGTCACACGAAAGATCCCATCTAATAGGATCGCAGATCAAAACAGGCAAACTAGGAAAGCGAATGATGCAAGGTACCTACGAATCCGAACTACTTTATCACTCTTACTGCCCCGAACATGTTCCAACACCAATTGCCTGGGGAGCCTATAAAGACCACCCGGATACATGGTTCTACATCTGCGACTTCCACGACATGGCGATGGAGAAACTGGATCCAAGTGCCTTTGTCGACATCATTACTGGGGTGCACAAAGCAAGTATGGGAAAATCACCGCTCGGCAAATACGGATTCCACATTCCAACTCACCTTGCTCACGTACCGAATGACAATACATAGGAAGACTCGTGGGAGATCTGGTACACCAAAGCCATGCAGACCATGTATGATCTAGAGAAGAGCAAATACGGGATAGACGAAGAGTTAGAAGTCATCTTCGAAGCTCTCCGTTCAAAAGTCATACCTAGGTTGCTCCGTCCTCTGGAAACCGGCGGTCGCTCTATTGAACCATGCCTCTTGCATTCGGATCTCTGGCCTGGAAACTGCATGCTGGAGAAAAAGACTGGCAAGATCATTATCTTTGACTCGTGTGCTTTCTGGGGTCATAACGAGTGTGACTTGGGTAGCTGGCGTGCTCCGCGGTACAATATGGGCGAGGAGTTCTTTACGTGCTACAAGGATATCGTGAAGCCCTCGCAAACAGAGGAAGATTGGGACGATCGCAACAGACTTTACGCCATGTAAGTAGCTTCCCAAACAAGAGGGTTGTTTCGCTCACGGTGATCAGTCGCTATGATCTTCTGGTCTCCGCGCTCTATCCGGAGAAGCCCGAATTTCACGATAGGTATGTGTAAGAAGACTTGTGTATCGTTATCAGGCTGACTAGTGTCAGAGCCAAGGATGAGATGAGAATACTCGTCAAGAAGTTCCCTGGCGGCTTCGAAGACTGGGAAGCCCGACATGCGTCTTCATAACGTGACCTCTAGGGGTCAAACGCGATCTCGTCAATGGCTGGCCTCAAGTCCATTCGATTGCATTTTTCAGAGTGGCCACTTACCCCGCGTTCGATATGCGTGAAGCGACTGTGCCGCAAGACTAGACTGTAGAGACGTCAAAGCGTGTCTTATGAGTCAGGTGCCACCCTTCTCTTTTGTACCCTGTTTGAAGCATTCAGCTCTGAACGACACGGCTCCCGATCAGAATGGTCAAGAACGAACGTAACGGAGTCGCGAAAGAAGAAGGGGTTTCGCATGCGCTCGCAGATCAAGGGAAAGAGGGCGCAAATGACGAAGATACTTCGTACACCACATTCACTCCCACTCAGAAGCGACTTTTACTCGGGGCTTGCTCTACAGCAGCGGTATTCTCAACAATCTCTTCGTTCATTTACTTCCCTGTGATCATAGCCATCGCAAACTCATTGCACGTTTCCATCGAACAGATCAACTGGTCTATCACTTCGTACTTGATAGTATCAGGATTCGCGCCCTCGGTATTCGGTAGCCTGGCTGACGACATTGGGAGACGTCCCGTACTTCTTTTGACCCTCTCCATATACGTTGGGGCAAACATAGGACTGGCCCTTACGCAGCACTATGCGACTCTCATAGTAATGAGGTGCCTCCAAAGTGCTGGTGCTTCGAGTACCATCGCGATCGCATTCGGTATCATCGCAGATATCTCGATACCTGCAGAAAGAGGATCTTACGTGGGTGTGTTAATGGGTGCTACCAACGCTGCGCCATGCTTGGGGCCTGTCATTGGTGGAGTAGTTTCAGAAAAGCTATCGTGGAAATGGATCTTCTGGCTCTTGGTCATCGTTGCCGGAACTTTGCTGGCGACACTTACCCTCTTCCTTCCGGAGACCGAAAGATGCCTTGTAGGAAACGGGAGTCTTCAACCAGCGCGCCTCATGAACAGAACCATATATTCGCTTGTATCTCGGCGTAAGACCAGGTCTCCGGCAGCTGCATCTTCTCGAAGTCGTGGCTCCGCCTTTCTAGGACCTTTCAAATCACTGTTAGCTCTCAGGAACCAAGCCAACTTCATCGTTATCTTAGCCGGCGGTATCACTTACACTATGTATACGTGTCTCGCGGCTTCCCTCTCAGCGGCAGTCATCGCAGAGTATGAGATGAATTACCTTACGGCGGGATTGACCTACCTTCCAAACGGCATTGGCGGTATCCTCTCATCGTATGCGTCCGGCAAGCTCCTCGATCACGACTACAAAGTCACTGCGCGCAGACTAGGCCTCCCATTAACATCTCAATCGGGCAACGAATTCCCCTTCGCAAAGGCTAGACTGCGATCGATATTTCCGTTTGTAATCGTTAGTGCGGTGGCTACCATAGGGTACGGTTGGGTATTGCACACGAGGTCGCATATCGCTATACTGCTAGTGGTCCAATTCTTCTCAGGAGCGGCTCAGGTATGTATTTTCGCGACAGGCGGGACGCTGCTCACAGATCTGAATCCCGGGAGAAGTTCGACTGTACAAGCGAGTTACAGCCTGGTGAGATGCGCTCTCAGTGGTGCCGGCGTGGCGGCTTTGGAGTTCATGGTGCGCCAGATAGGGTACGGGTGGACTTTTACCGTCTTTGGGGGCTTGGGACTTTTGTGTGTACCCATACTTTTCTATCTGAAACAGAAGCGTGCTCTATGAAGCAGAGACTTGATTGTTGGCTGATTATAGGTGGCTGGAGGGTCGCGTCGCGATCATGAACATGACGCGTTTAGGCTGAGCTTAGCGCCCTTGCCCCCTACCTAATCAATTGATGACGCCCCGCGGGAGGCCTCCTGCACCAACCCAACACGTCTTCGAAACGATCCTAGCATGAATCCCAATAGGCAGCAACATCGTTCATGGCAGCATTCTGCCGCACAGCCCGATCACCAACAACGCAGGCAACCATAATGCTGAGTCGTTCTTTGTATTCAAAACGTCACTCTGTCGAATAACCCGACAAGCACTCTACTCCACAATAACAATTTTGCCAATCATGGCCAGTTCCGCGGCCAATAGAAAGGCTGAGCTCGACATGTTCCAGCACTCTATTCTGCCAAAAGAGAAGGGCTCCTTCCGATTGATACACATCAGACCTGATCTGTCCGTCGACGGCCTCCCCGATTGCTACTTACAGGATGCGCTAGTTCAAGAATCGAACTATGTCTGTCTTTCCTACACCTGGGGTCAACCAGGGGACGAGTACCCCATCAAGCTCAATGGAGAACTATTTCATGTGCGCCGAAATCTCCACAATTTCCTCCAAGCGGCACGTCAGCGTCTCACATTCTGTACGCTATGGATAGACGCGTTATGCATAAACCAAACCGATGTCGAGGAAAGAAACCATCAAGTTCAGCAGATGGGTAACATTTTTGCTGCCGCAAGAATGGTAGTGTCGTGGCTAGGTAATAGTCTCGAGACGCAAGAATTCGTTCAGGCGGTAGGACAGGACTTCGACCGCCAGGTATGGAAGACGTGGGAGTGTTTCTATCACCGCAAGCACGGTGATAAATCTTGGGGGAGCTACTCCCGGATCTTGGAGCCGAACGGCAAGAGTCAATTGGTCCAGACCCATAAACTCATGGAAGACAATACACACAACTCCCACATCCCGGACTCTTCACCCATTGAGAAATATTACGGTCGCGTTGCGAACAATCCTTACTGGAAAAGAGCCTGGGTTACACAAGAAATACTGCTATCAAGCACGCTGATCGTGATGGCTGGAGAGCATGTCATCGATTTTGTGTCACTCGCGCACATGTGTATCCGTACAAGAGATGAGATGCCTGAGGACCCATTGGAGGAATATGCGCGCTTTTTACTAGTGAACAAAAGCAACGACACAGAGAATAGACCAAACCGCTCGTCTCTGTTCAACGTGGACAGGGGGAACACGCAAGGACTGCTTGCCCTCCTGAGGCACTTCTCAGGAAAATGTTGCGCAATTCGACGGGATCGTATCTACTCCCTCTTAGCACTTTGTAAAGGTGGCGAGAAGATCAAGGTTGACTACGATGAACCAGATATCAAGCTCATCATGCAAGTTCTAGATGCCTGCAAAGAAGAAGTGTGCTTCTGTTCTGCAGCTACTGTGGCTCGCATTGTAAAAGGTCCAGAATTCTTACGTCTGGAAAAAGAAGCTTACGATGTCACTCTGACCTATGACTTCAAGCTCCAGGCATACAGTTCAGACTTAGAGGTTTGTCCGTCATGCTCTCAGCAGATACGTCGATCTAAGCCTGGTGTATACTTTTGCTTGAGCTGCGACTCCGACATTTGCAAGGACTGGCAGGGACACCTCTTTTGGGATAATTCCTCTTGTGAAGACGCAATAAATCCCTCTCGGCGTCGTGACCTCCGGTGGTCAGCCAGAGAAGACATGCGCAGGGCGCGAGTGCTATGTAGGAAAGGACAAGGAATTGAGATCAAACGCGAAGAGGTCGAAGGCGATATTTACACCTTGCGATTTTCTCTCGGTACCCTTGTCGACGTCATGCATGTCATGTATGAAGACGAAAAGCGGGGTGGTACATCACACACATGTCGTGGTTGACGACGAAATCTGCTCTTCGGCATGAACTCATGCCTAGGCAGAGATGCTGGGTATATACGTGCTATATCCTAGTATTCAGCACGCATGGATCTTGACAAAGCTTGGGTTTGTCGTGAAAACGATATCATCATGACTGAAGCTACCCCCACCGACCAAATGACTACATCAGCGAAGTACGTGAAGAATGGTAAACGCTCTCAGACGCCTCAGATCTGTAACAATGTACCTGATGCAGGGACCTCTTTGTGGGACCAGTGTCTTTCACGCGTGTCCCAGCTGCCCTTTTTGCACACATTGCCATCCTATGCATCTACCTCTGTGACCACGTCCGACGGCGGCTCGCCTCGTCCCGGTCTGCATGGCTCGGTCTCCTTCCGCATTCAATCAAAGGTCTTTTCTTCATATACTTCTTGGCCATACTGAAGATAGGCTTTGACTACCACGTTGCGTCCTTGCATGGTGAAACCGTTTTTAATTTGTCGACAAAGGTGTAGTATAGCGGTGAGATTGCTTGACTTAAGATCTTCGACCAGGTCGCTGTCGTTGACTTTAATCTGACCGAGGATGTCGTAAATATCGGCTACCCCACTGATCTTTATAATGCTGAGCTTTTGTAGCTCTTCCAGACCCAGGATAGCTTGAAGTTGGAAGTCGTGTAAGAACATTTCGAACGAAAGTGCGCGTACAGAGATCGTTGCATGGCCATTCGTTGCTGTACACACTAATGGCGAATAGAGTGTAACATTAAGCTCGCGAAGTCTTGAGAAGTGCCTTATTGTGGAGGAGTAGACTTTGTTGCATCTTTGGGCGAGCTCTTGGGCGTCAATCTCACTTACGCCGGGCTCATTTTCGAGAAAAACAAGCCTTCGCTGCCCCTCCGTGTTCGTTGTCGTCGCCTTTCGCACATGGAGATGCAGGGAACTGGCCTTCAATGAAACCATGATCCTACTGAGAGTTGTGCAGTCGCCGAATTCGAAATGCGCTGCTTCCAACAAACAAGGGAGCAGCTCGCTTCGCAGGCTCTTACTGGTAAGACAGAGAGGTGGAATAAATGGAGAGTGCTTCCTCTTGACTCGGATAGACCGCTCGTAATCCTTGGAGAATCGCAAGTGTGGCCAATTCTGACAGGCTATCGAATGCTTTTCGTCTAGGAAGTACTGTTCGTAGACCATACGTCGAAGCTCCTAGGAGGAACTGTCAGCCAAATCAACAGTCGGAGTGGGTGCGGTTATGACACGTACGACAGGTAGGGTTATGAAGAGGTGGAATGTGGGTTGGTGAAGTAGCTCCTCAACGTATGGGTTGATCGCGGTCAGGAGCTCTTTGAAGCCATCGTGCGCATTGTCGGCGTCCAGACCATCGGTCGCGTCATTCATAGCCGGTGCCATGGTGTCGTTGGAGGCCGGGTG